CGTGATTCTTTGCAAAAAAAATACGATGAGCAGTTTTTTGGAATGAAAGTTTTATTTGCCTTACGTAAAAAACATTTGCCTGAGAATGCCGTGCAAAAGTTCAAGAAAGAAGCCATCAACGTGTATCAAAGAGCCATTGCGTACCTAGAAAAGTGGTATAATTTCACCGATTCAGTATATGAGACGCTAAATTGTTTCAATCTAATTGATTGCAATAATCCTCCAACTTTAGAAGAAATGACGAACATCTGGTTATTATCACCATGGCGAGAAGAACTTCCACCCAACACTCTCTTCAATGAAATTTCTGCCTTAGAAGAAGTTTATGTTCATCTGCAGGGCGATTCATCCCTTGATAAGTGGATGTACTTTTTCAAGAAAGAGCCAGCTCTGAGTTTACTGAAACTGTTCCAGTATTGTGCATCAATTCCGGTATCAAATACAAACGTTGAACGAATTTTCAGCGTCATGGGAAATTTATGGACTGACGAACGTAACCGACTGCTTGTACCATCAGTTTGAAGTGAACTTTGTATATTTTTTAATATTTCTCAATGTTGTACTGAAATTAAAGAATTATTCCTTAAACACAAAGAATTGATCAAAGCTGCGCAGTCAAATAAAAAATACACAGGACAGCAAAGTAAAATGTAATTTAATATTTTACATATTATTATAATATATTTGATGTTTTGAATTTTAAGTAAAGTTTAGAAGTGATTATTTTAATACATGTTAAAATGTTTGTAAGAAAATATATAATTTAATTGTAATTTTTTAAAAAAATTTTTACTACTTAACCACCCCACCCCCCGCTTGTCCGCTATTTTTTGGAAGCAGACCTGGCAACCCTAGTATAAATAAAACAGCAGGCTCAATTGATAAGACAGACATCAAACCCACTTCACCATTAAAAATTGTAATGCAATTGAAAGTAATCCAAGGAATCAAAGTTGACTTCCAAATCCAACCAGGATATGAAACCAGCCTTCACCACAATAACATGAAGTGTCATTTACAAACCTTCTGGGCTCCCAACCTCAACAGGTAAAGGAAGACAATTACAGAAAAACTGCCATAAGGCAAATCACAAGGTATAAAAAGAGGAAAACAAGGAACTTTTAGCAATGAATAAAAGAAGAAAAAGAGGCATCTGGCCAAGGATCTAATACAAAGCCAGGTGACAGACCCAGCCAAAGTTGCACCTCTGTTTTAGGTAGTGTTTAGGTAACACGTTAAGAGATAATTTATATAATACAAATATAAGAAGTACTGTACAACAAGACCAATACAGACTGACAGCAAAAGGAAATAAAGCCCCTTAAAGAAGAATAGCAGTACAAAAATAAAAAAAATACAAGGAAGGATTGAGACTGAAAAGCCAAGTACCAAAATTAATTAAAACAGCAATTTTAGAAGTGTCAGCACATTTGTCCTGAATTGTTAAAAGCAGAGTTTTAGGAATGTAACATCTGTAACATGTTAAGTCTGGCGCCCAAATAAGTATATTTATAAGTAAATATAAGTATAAGTATATAAGTATAAGTATAATAAGTATAAGTATAAGTATTCCACCAAATGGATTTTTTGATAATAATAAAGTATGATTGTATGTGATCATTGAGTTCAGCTCTCTGCTCAGGATCAGGAGTCCAGATGAAAGCAATTTCAGTCAATCACTGTTCAGCTCACGGGTGAAATCTACTTACCTTCCCTACCAGTTCAGAAGTGTGTGAATGTGTCACGTGTAATTTTAGACCCTCTGCGCATGCAGAGTTACAACCAGGAAGTAACAACGTCCGGGCAGGTGGGCTGTAGCTGCTGCCGCTACTGGTTCACCGAACCACCCGTCACCGCCACTACCAGTTCGCCCGAACGGGTCCGAACCAGTAGCATTTCACCTCTGGTTCAGCCTTATAAGGGTTTTGGCAGGATTCACAGAGTTCTCTTTAGCAAGATTTGTGAAGATTTATTATAAGGAAGCAGCTATCTATTGTAGGAAGTCCTCACCCCCCCCCCCAATCAAATATTTGGCGGGATATTAAAAGGCAGAATGTTATATTTCCCCAAAAGGAGAAATGGAGAAAAATCTTAACAAAGGCAGAAACCAGCCCCAACAACCTCTAGCAGAAGCCTGAAGTTTTTAGAGATGGATATTTTGTGTCCATTAAGAAAGACTGGGCCAATCTATTCACAAACAAAACACCTTCAGGTCCATCTGATGGGATTAAGAAGGACATGACATGACTTTTAGGACCTAATAAGATTAACCCATCACCATTAGAAAAAGACACAAGGCTCATTGCAAAATCTCCTAGCAGCATCTCAGAACCCTATAAAAATCCATAAAGTCATCAAATCAATTTGTCAGCTGTCCCAGAACTACATGATGCTGTTGGTTCTGCTCATCAATAAACAGAGTCCTCTCCAAATGGCCTCCATTTTATTTCCAGTGTCTTTCTCCCGGCTTGGAACCAGACCGGATTTTTCTTTCAATACTGTTTAGATAACAAGTACTGTACTCTTAGCTAGCCAGTGGCATAATTAGCATCTCAGGATTCCAAAAAAGCCTCTCAGATGGACTTCCCTAACCCAACCTGTCTTCAGTAAAAGGCTAGTGGTTACATTAAAGGAAAAATAAATATATATATGTGTGCATAAGTATTACATGCAGAATTGCTTTTCCTTCCTGTCATTTGTCTTGGCATTGAAACTTACTGCAAGATATTAAACAAGAGTTCTGGAAGTTCTCCCTGCATGGATGTGGCAGATGGATTCTTCATTCTTCGGGGGGGGGGGGGGGAGGGATTGGCATTTTATTTGCTGCTTTCTCCATATTCCCAAAGTAATATCATGTTGGAATCATACCAGTCCTTTTGGTTTTGATTGGATTTCTCAGTTGCCAATTGTTAAAAACAGATTTTTAGGAATCTAACATCTGTGAACCATGTTTTGAGACCAGCTTTTTAAACTTCCATCTAGTTCAGCAAATCTACTCATATCCATAAATTTCATCCATCAGACACAGATAACAGTTTTACTCCAATGTTTGCTGTGAAGACACAGGGAATATCCCAGGTCTTTCTTACAGACTCAGCACTTATCCTTCTTCTCCAACAGAATATGCTTTATTTTGTTTTATAATATGAAGTAAAAACCAAATATAATCACGAGTGGAGGGGAAATCACCACTAGTTGCAGACAGAACAAACTTGAAAAATGAAAAAAAGAAGAGAAAAAGCCCAGAATTTTCCCAATTTTCCAGTTTTTTCTTTTCTTTCCTTTTTCTTTTTTTAATTGTGAAAATTGGGGGGGGGAATGATAAAATATTTTCTAATCATACATAAAATGGGAGCGATCTAACATTGCCCTATATCTGGAAATACACTAGAATAAATTAGCAGCATGTCTTCACACCGGCAAATATTCCATTTTAGAAGTCCATGAAACATTATACAAATAACAGATTAAATTTAGGAAATGAGACTGAATCATTTTTTTCCTGAGCAAATTTGATATTGTCATACTAAACCTTTATTCTTTCCTCTCCCCAAAACAAATCTTTTCCTGTTTGATGCATTGAATGACAAAGGGACCACGGAGACCCTCTGAGGACTCCTCAAAATTAAAATTATTTGTCAGTTTATGTTGAAAAATAATACAATGTTAAAATCCCATCAAACAACCTTGAGGAGTGAGAGCAGTAGCAATGCATCCATTTTTAATTTTTAATAAGAAAATATAAATAAATATAACCCCTATAAACAACAGCAAAATTTTTAAAAGGGGTCCTGAGAGAAAGAAGTTTAAGAAATAACTGGAAAAATGGATTTCATTTACACAAAGACAGATTCTGGTTTTAATATTAGGAAGAATTGCCTAACAGCAAAAGCAGTTTGACTGTGGGATCATTTAGCACTGATGAGCTCTCTCTTCTTCACAAGATGAGGTAAAGCAAAGGCTAAAGAACTGTCCTTCTAGGACAGTAATGGCAAACCTTTTTGACACCGAGTACCAAAATGCACACGCATCTGGGCCGCAACCCGGAAGAGGAGCTGCCTAGGGCGCATGCGCATCCCCGAAAATGAACTTCCGGTTTCAGCCAGCTATTCTTCTGGGTTTCTGGCACGCATGTACATGTGACAATCAGCTGGCCGGCGCGCATGCTCACGCAGGAAAACGGAAGACCAGCTCTTCTAGTTTCCAGCACTACCACATGCAAAAAGGCCAGCTGAACATCGTGAGCGCATGCGCACCAGAAATCCAGAAGAGGAATGGGCAACGCCGCTCGTGCCAGGCGTTATGGCTCCATGTGCCACTTCCGGCACGCGTGCCATAGGTTCGCCATCACAGTTCTAGGATAACTGAATTTAATTTGGATTTTTGCTTGGAACAGGGATTGGACTGAATGGCCTTCCCAGTCTAGAATTCTGGGTCATCCAGAGAATCGGCATCTCCTCATCCTCTTTTTTCTCCTTTTGACCTTTTTAAACACCATGCAGGATCTTCAAATAGATGGAGAGACAGGGTTGATCAATTCAACGATACCCTTTGCATAGCGCCAAGCACAAAATCCACCCCACCCCACCCATCAATCATTTTGCTTTGATACTGGCTTGTATGTTGCCTTTTGAATAATCACCATGACTGCGATAATAAAACCCTGGCTAGGAAATTATTTGAAATTGCAAATGCCACCAGTCCATAGAGAAAAATGGCTATTTTAGATCTAGAGACTCTTAAGAGCCCAGCTAAGTCTAGTTGTAAGAAGCAAGTGTAAACTTTGATTTATGGATCCCAAATGCTCTCTTGGTGCAGCTCTATTTAAAACTGAGCGCCTGTAATGTTTGGGGATGTGCCAGGTGTCACTCAGCATTGTCTCAGCCCAAAGTGTCCAATGAACATCCTGCCTCTAATTTCCCTGAGAATTTAGCCACAAGAACCAATATTTTAACAGCCAGATTCTCTCTCCGTGCAGGTTTTCATGACTGTTATCTGCAGAGGGAAAGAGATCCACCCCTGGGTGTAGCTGGATTCACTGAAGAATAGAAGTTAATAGCTGCTCCCAACAATGGCCTCCACTCTCTATTTGTCACCCAGTGGCTGAATATAAAAGAGGCCCCAGAGCAAAGTGCCAAGCAGATGAATGCTTCTGACTGCTTGATACCTTGGGGGTCTTCTACAAGAAACCTATTGCTTGATTCAGCATCATGAGCACTTCTCACCTAAGCAACAGAGCCGAGAGCCATTTCCAAGCACAAGAAGAACATGAACTGGAAACTCTGGGGAAGAAAGCATGGGACAACCCAGCTTACAATGGATCCCCTTCCTCGTCCTCCTTGAAAATCAGAGCCATCTACAACCCAAAATCCATTTTGGAAAATCCCTACGAGAACATCGAAAAACTGACTGGCTCCTTATCCTACCCAAAGGATAGAAAGGCTACCGAGGAAGCAAGGAAGAAGGAAACCCCCTTCCCAGGATGCTGCTACTATGTCTTCAAAGGCATCCGAGGTAACTTGGGTGGTGGGTGCGTGGGATTAAGTACAGAGAAGGTAGCCATCTGTGTTAGCTCCACCAAGAGGCAGGGGAAAGGATGCACCTTCTGTGCGGGGACTGCTGAAGGAATATTGTGCCGTAAACTTTGGCTTTGCTATCCCTCTATGTGTTATTTACAAATTTAAAAATCATCACAATGACAGGAAGGAAAATGTGAAATATTGGTGAGCCTTGGTTACAGAAGTTACTCTCTCATATTTTTATAGCTGGAAAGGTCACCTCAAAGGTGAGACCATTACCTTGAAATTAGTTGGGGGGTATCAGTGTCAACATTGTTTGCCTGAGCTTCAAAAGGTGGATAGGAGCATGTGGCTAATGCTAATTAGCATCATGCCTAGCTGCAAATTAGCGTAGTTGCAAATGTGAATATTGCGCATAGAAAAATTGGAGCAGATTTTTATCAAGCGTGCTTGACATTTAGCTTAAACTAATGAAGCAATCTTTGTAAAACATTGCCATAACTCAAGGGAACGAATGTTCAGATGTGGCTTTCAAAACATGAGAAGGGAGTCAGATTGATTGGATTTATTTTTATGAAATCCATGGAGAATTTCAATCCTTTTCTAGAGCTGACCTATTTGGAGCCAAGATCATTGTTTCGATGAACAAATTATCTGATTTGCATCTTTGCTTCTGCTTGATGATATGATTTTTCTCTGGCCTGCTTTCTTTTCAAAGAACTATACTTCTTGCCTTGTTTGTACATTCTATAATATACTGCTGACATCCTTGACCAGTTTGAAATAAAGACACTGAAATATCTAAAGCTCTTGAGGGTGCCACTATTTTTGCTCATTGTTGCATTCACTGCCAGCAAAGAGCGCTCAAGATGCTTTGTGGTTGGTAGACTATCTCAAAATATCTTCCCAGGCACATTTCCCTCCATCCGGCCGGATGAGTCAGCTGAGGAAGGTACAGTAACTAGGCTGGAGCTGTTCACATTCCCTTTCTCAAAGGCCATTCAATTTCCTCAGAATTCCTCTTGTCAAGGTAGAATCTGACCAATGCAGAAGAGAATGGAACTATTTGGAAAATTATACTAGATTGATGTGACCAAAAATTTAATTTTTGTAGTTTAAGTATATCAATATACTTGTATTTAGTTTTTAAAAATGTATATCCTGGTTTATATTTAAAAAATACCTTACTATGTTTTTTACTGTAACACCAATAATATTTTCACAAATATTATGGCGAACCATTGCACAATGCTGAAGGATTTTACAATTTTCAGTTAAATTTCATTGTGCTATTTTCATCCCTTTATTATAAACTCTCAAGATTATTTTTATTGTTGTTTCTAGTTTTGGGGATACTGTATTAACTATTCTTATTACACTCACCAATTGTGTATACTCTGCGCATTTGATAAGCATTCCTTTCCCCCTGTTCCTCCAAAGTCCTTAATGAAAGTGTTAGCCAAAACCAAACTCTACGACAGCCACTGAATATATCTTCCAAGGTTACAATATTCTGTGAAGAATAAATATAGTTAGCTGTGAGTTACTCCGTGTCACAGAACTAATATTCCCAAATGAAATAATAAATGCAATGACTGATTGATAGTATTGTGAGTGCAAAAACATTTTGTTGTACAAGAATTGCTACGGAGATCATTTGAGAGTCTAGGATTTCTTAATTCGCATGAAAAGAACTCAGAACTGAAATGGTTCTTGTCATAGAACATGTCTGGATCTGCTTCTTCAAAGCTGACTTAGGAGACCAGCTTTCAGCAATTGATGGGGAGAAAGTGAAAAGACCTGTAGTATATAGACATAAAGAATAGGTTTCTATTCTTTCTGAACAGAGAGCCTAAATTCCAAATCATCCAATGATTTTACAATCATTGAGCAGAGTTAGAAAGATTTCTCAAGCCCACCAACTTTGCTATAATTCAACACTCTTCTGGTTGTTATGGATCTTTATATCTTCCGGTAACTTGAAACCTTTTCTCCATGTTCTGCACTCTAGAATAAGGGAGATCTTTTTCTGTGTGGTATCTCTTCAGGTATTTTGAAGGCCCTATCTCTTCTCCTCTCCTACTTCTTCCACAATATTTTGAGGCAACTCTGATTCTAATATAGCTTCCTCGGGAATTACATCTCTTTCACTTAAAGACAGGGAGCTTTTCAAATAAATCACATCTTCTTCACCATGAGTTGCTTGACAGCGAGAGGGACGTCGTATAAATTTAATAAATAAAATTTGTAAAACCAGGAGTTTGTCTGATGTATTCATTTATTATTTTATTTATATCCCACCATTTTTAATAAGCAACACAAGGTAGCAAACATATCTTATACTCCTCCTTCTTCCTATTTTTTTCTCACAACAACAACCCTGGTGCCCTGGTGGCGCAGCAGACTAAAGCACTGTTCTTAACATCAGCTGCCTGCAATTACTGCAAGTTCAAATCTCACCAGGCTCAAGGTTGACTCAGCCTTCCATCCTTTCTAAGGTAGGTAAAATGAGGACCCGGATTGTGGAGGCAATAAGCTGACTTTGTATAAATATACAAAAGTATGAAGGCTATTGCTTAACGCATTGTAAGCCGCCCTGAGTCTCAGGAGAAGGGCAGCATATAAATCAAATTAAAAAAAAAAAAAACCTGTGAGTGAGCTGGACTGAGAGAGAGGGACTGGTCACCCAACTGGCTTTCATGACTAGAGTGGAACTAGAACTCGCGGACACTTGGCTTCTAGTCTGGTTCCTTAATTTCTAGACCAAAATGATTCTTTCATGCTGGATAGCTCAGGGCCAACTGAATCAGGCAGCTTTGCTGGGAGGAATTCTGGGAGTTAAAGTCCACAAGTCTTAAAGTTGCCAAGGTTGGAGACCCCTGAACTGGATATCTATGCAGTATGGAATTTTTTTGTTGATTAGTTTCTATCCTGATGTTCTTTCAGAAACTCAAGGCCACATTCATAGGGCTCAGTTTGTGAGTTTTGCTCACCTATACATAGAACTGCCTGGTTCATGTAAAAATCAGTTTTGAATCCTAACCTCTGTAACAATGGTTACTAGCTCCACAAGAAAAAATAAAAAGAGAAAACCAGAATTTTGTAGAATGAATGACTCTCTCTGGAGGTGGCCATGCGGGCAGGCAGAAATATCTTGTGAACGAGAGTCTACAACTATTAAGCCTGCACAAGGGAATTTAGACAAGACGCACAATGAGGAGTACTAGCCCTGTCTTTATTGTAAGGTTATTTAATAAAGTCTTGTAAGTCTGAAAATATGTCTTCTTTCCTTTTACTATGTAGAAAACTAGGAGGGTCCCAGTGGTGAAATGTGAAATTTGTTACTACCTGTCTGTGGGCGTGGCGTGGCTTGGTGGTGGTGGGGGTTATGTGACTGGGTAGGTGTGGTCAACTTTTTTTTTTTTTTTTACTTTTAAAACCATTTTTTATACAACCTCTTCAGCTGAGCAGGTTGTAGAAAAAAATGCTTTTAAAAGCTTCTAACGATCCCAGCTGAGTTCCCTGATCGTCAGAGGCTTTTTTTCCTTTTAAAAACATTTTTTCTACAACCTCTTCAGCTGAAGAGGTTGTAGAAAAAATACTTTTAAAAGCCTCTGACGATCCCAGTTGAGCCGTGCGATCATCAGAGGCTGTTTTTTTAACTTTTAAAAGCATTTTTTCAGCTGAAGAAAAAATGCTTTTAAAAGTAAAAAAAAACCCAGCCTCTGATGATCGCGCGGCTCAGCTGGGCATGGGGGGTGGGCAGGGATTTTTGTTACTGGTTCTCTGAACCACCCACCGCCATTGCTACCGGACTGGGCGATCCAGTCCGAACTGGGAGCATTTCACCCCTGGAGGGTCCCCTTCGGAAATGTTTCTCATACTCTCCTTCTTTTGGTGTGCTGAGGTAGTTTTATCCAGGATGTAGGTCTCCCTTCTGTCTCCCAAAGAATAGAATTCTTTATTGGCCAAGTGTGATTGGACACACAAGGAATTTGTCTTCAAATATATGTATAAATATAAGTATGAATATATTTATTTTTTTATATATTTTTATTTTTATTATTAATATATATATATATATATATATATATATATATATATATATATATAAAGTTCTTCACATCTATCATTACACAATAGTAGTAGGACGGCACCTTGTGTTGAACACATTTTCTCTTATTTAAATGTTGAAATCAGGGGCAATGCTTGTAGCCAATTGGAGAGCTTAGTCATCTGTGGAAGGGGCAACCATCATCTTGACTTTTTAAATTTCCTCATTGGATTCTCTCTCTCTCTCTCTCTCACACACACTCTCTCTCTCTCTCTCTCTCTCTCTCTCTCTCTCTCTCTCTCTCTCAATTAAATTTGCAAACCAGGGTGGATTTGATTTAAATCAAGTGATTTAAATCATGATTTAAATCTCTGTCGTCTCTTTCATCTCTGCCCCACAGCGGCTCCTCCTCTGACCCGCTGTTGACTCACCGACAGTCCCAATATTGCAGAATATACAGCCTCCTGCTACATAACTAAGCTCCATTTCATGCTGAATAAACTAAATTATTAATGTATCTTAAATAGAAAACTATCTTTAGTTTTTACTCCAAAAGCATTTTATTGAAATAAATTTGATAAAAATAAAAAAAATCCAATTTAAATTTTTAAAATCCTATTTAAAAAAAAAACATCTATTTTTATCAGCCTTGCTGCAAACCCTATATAGTTTCTCAACCTTGCTAACTTTAAGAATGGGAACTTCAACTCCCTTCCATCCATCCCTTAACATTATGTGTTCATACAGATCAAAAAGTGCGTAGACAGAGAGAAACATAAAACCAAAGTGGGGGAAAAAATCAAGAATTGTTTTCAAACAAGCTGCCTTATCAAATGGCTACTTTTTATTATAATCTATTGTACATTTTCCAATTAAAAATTGAGTTTGGAATCAGTGCTAGCACTTTAAAAAAAAAGAGTAACTTTTTGAACCAGGAGCAGGAACTCCAAAGAGCTTTTAGCTGTTCCTGGCACGAATTGCCTATGTTCTTCCATCTCAAGAGCTTTCGATCGAGGGCGTGGAGGAACATCTCTCACAGAGCTGTGGTTCTGAGCGTCCTTAAGCCTGAAAGGAACAGAAACCCCTTTGGATATTGATGTGAGAACATTTACTCCACTTTCAAGTAGGAATTCACACCAACATTGGATGAAGGTTTAGACGAGAAGAGCAATAACATCAAGCCATTAGAGAAGCAAGCTATTAAGCCTTAATGGCATTCATTAGCAGTGAGCAACGAAAGAAAAGTGAAATGAACAATGTTTCAAAGGAACCAGCTTTTCTTGAACTCAAAAGAAAATTCACGCCACATCACTAAAATGAAAGAGAGAAATTGATTTGGACCTAAGCTGAAGGTAAAGGATCAAACAAGTAAAGCTGGGCTCGGTTCTCTGAAATATTTATGTTTCCACTCCTCTCCTAAATGTCCTTCTGAGACTCTGTTACATTTATTTATATTTATATGGACATTTATATGGACATAAACTGTTCCAATTCCTACCCTCAAAACAACGTTATAGAGCACTGCACATCAGAACAACTAGACACAAGAACAGTTTTTTCCCGAACGCCATCACTCTGCTAAACAAATAATTTCTTCAACACTGTCAAACTATTCACTAAGTCTGCATTACTATTACTATTAATCTTCTCATCGTTCCTATCACCCATCTCCTCCCACTTATGACTGTATGACTGTAACTTGTTGCTGTATCCTTACGATTTATATTGATTGTTTCCTAGTATGATTCGATTGTGTATTTGTACCCTATGACAGGGGTGGGCAACTATGGCCCTTTTATGACTTGTGGACTTCGACTCCCAAAATTCCTGAGCCAGCCATGTTAGCTCAGGAATTCTGGGAATTGAAGTCCACAAGTCATAAAAGGGCCATAGTTGCCCACTTCTGCCCTATGACTATCATTAAGGGTTGTACCTTATGATTCTTGATGAATGTATCTTTTCTTTTTATGTACACTGAGAGCGTATGTACCAAGACAAATTCCTTGTATGTCCAATCACACTTGGCCAAAAAGAATTCTATTCTATTCTATTCTGTTCTATTTAGATACTTTTTCACCTGCCCACTCTCACCCCTTTTTACCCCTGCATCCATAATGCAGAAAACAGCCAGAGCCAATTCCCAATTTATCCATTGTAGCAGCAATTCCTGGAAAACGGTGAGGTGGCATTGTATCTGCATCTTTAAATGATCGAACTCTATGTTTACAATCAAGTGTTGTAAACTCTATGTTTACAATCAAGTGTTAAAATCATGCATTTCCCAGTTTTACACTCTTTTTCCTGCCAATCTTCCAAGTTTTTCTTAAAGTTAGTAATATTCACTGTAAAAGAGTAAATAAGGAAATAGCAGCTGAGATGTGGAAATAAACACAATTGGAAGAAATAAGGATATATCTTGAACAAATGAGGGAGATCATTGGCAATGGTTATAAAATATCTCATCAAATGGGCTGAAAGTTATTTACTTTTGAAAGTGTAAAATCCATAGCATTCAGAGGAAGATTGTTAAGCTCTAGAGACATGGTCAGTTCCTGAAAGTCTTGATGGCAATTCCAGGAATTGTCACCCAACTCCTAATTTTTGAAGTGACCAAGAGGAAAATAATTAAATACATAACCATTTCAGTATCTCCAAAATTCCTGATTTTTCCTGTTCTCAAAGTAATCCAGCTCATGTTTTGCATCAGTTTGCAAATTAAATAATTAAATATTTGTAATGATTATTTGCTTTTTTCATTTGCATTTCCCCCAATATATTTGCCTTTGGGAATAATTCAAACACTATTTTTAATGTTACTTTTACTAATTATCCAGTTTTGTACATATATTTTTAAATACGTATACATGATGAGCACAATTTTGCTTTGAAGAATTACAATGCAAAATCCATAGTACACTTTTTAAAATAATATACAGTTGAATTTCTTTTTGATATTGGTTTTAAAAGTTGATGTACTCCTTAAAAATATTATAAAGTATGAAAAATCATATCATGCTTAGAATTCCAACATTCTTACAAGCTAAGACATAGGATGTCTGGAACCCGCATTGCATATCGGACATAAATACAATTGAGAGAGTCCAGAGATATTTTCGAGAAGAGTAAAATATTCCTCTAACCTCAATAAAATACCTTATGCCACCAGACTCCAAATTTTGGCCTTAGACAATTTAGAACTACGCCGACTTCAGTCCGACCTAAGCATAGTACATAAAATTATCTGCCACAATGTCCTTCCTGTCAGTGACTACTTCAGCTTCAATCACAACAATACACGAGCAAATAATAGATACAAACTCAAGGTAAACCGTTCCAAACTTGATTGCAGAAAATATGACTTCAGTAACAGAGTGGTCAATGCCTGGAATGCATTACCTGATTCTGTAGTTTCTTCCCCAAACCCCCAAAACTTTACTGTTGACCTCACCCCATTCCTAAGAGGTCTGTAAGGGGCATGCATTAGTGCACCAGCATGCCTATCATCCCTGTCCTAATATTCCTTTTTTACTTTTTTCATGTATTCAAATTATGTTTACACTTTTACCTGTTATCTTATATATGGTTGACAAATAAACTTATGATTATGATTATGATTCAAATCTGTCACCTACAGTTCCATTTTCTGTGAGGCAAACACATTCGTTTCATCAGGAACATGCTGATATGTTGGAGCAACTGAGGTTGGAATAAATCCATATATTTTTTATTTTTTCCTTATTTTTTTTACAGGGCTTTGGGGCACAACCTTGACTGAAAATACCAGTGAGAATCGAGAGCTTTATGTGAAGACTACACTGCGTGAACTTCTGGTCTATATTGTATTCTTAGTGGACATCTGTTTGTGTGAGTAGTGTGGTTACTGCTCTTGAGTCTTGATACCAGTTTTTCCTACTTTCTATTATTCTTCTGATTATCCTTTTTAAAGTCCTTTTCTTTTGTCTCTTTCTGAGCTCACACGGGATCATTTAAAAATATATATATATTTGCTATTTTACTGCTTACTGGCCTCATAGCTAATGGAAACTACAAATTTATAATTTTTCTCAGCACTTTCCATCCCCAAAAGAAGTCAGTGGTAAACCTTAATGGTGCCAAGCAAACTACATGGAAATAAGGTTAAAGCTAACCAAACTTAGCATGTTGTCAAATGAATCTACCAGATTTGTAAATGATCTGATAATGCATGTTGTGTGAACACAGCCTGTGATTTCCCTGATTGTGTAAGACATTCAGAGGTGGGCGGCACATGAATTAACAACTGGTTTGCCCAGCACTGAAAATGTGAGCGTGTGTGAAAATGTGAGTGCTCTCTTCGCTTTGCTCGAACACACGGCTTGCATGCATGTGCACAGCTTAAAAAACGTGGCTAAATAGAACAGCATAGAGCCAGGGTCGCAACTACCAGTTCGCCCAAATCAGTCTGAACCGGCAGGAGCACTGAGGACATTGGAGGTAATAACACATTAAAGATGACAACGAGAGGAATGGTAAAGGAAAACTCGTGATCATGTTTTTCTTGTCCCTAGCGTTCGCGCAGAAGCTTTTAATAGGAAATTATGCAGAACTTTATTATTATTAAACTTTAGGTACACAGCAAAATAAAGTAATGTTTTATGGTATACAATAGAACATTAAATGTGCAATAAACAATAATACATAATAATTCAACGCTCGAGCATTTTGAAATATAAATTACTCCACTTGTATCACACTGGAAGTTTTTAAGAAGATGTTGGATAACCATATCACAACTTCTGGGGGCAAGTTGTTTCACTGATTAATTGTTCTAACTGTCAGGAAATTTCTCCTTATTTCTAAGTTGCTTCTCTCCTTGATTAGTTTCCACCCATTGCTTCTTGTCCTGCCCTCAGCTGCTTTGGAGAATAGCTTGACAGCCCCTGAGATATTGGAACACCGCTATCATGTCTCTCCTAGTCCTTCTTTTCATTAAACTAGACATACCCAGTTCCTGCAGCCGTTCTTCATATGTTTGCTTGTGATTTGCTTGTGACAATCCCATGCTGGCATTTGCTGCTGGTTTCATTCTTCTCCAAATGCTCCCAAATATGCTGTGCGTCTGCTTTGCCAAGGATAAATATCAAGCTGACATGTTTATAGTTTCCTAGGTCCTTCTCCTTTTTGATGATCAGGACAACGTTTTTTCTTCCCCAGTCTTTTGGGACTTCTCCAAAAGTCTTCCAGGGGTTATCAGCTACAAAAGCTAGTTTGATGATTCTGCAATCACCTCTTCTTGCTCTTTCAGCACTTAAAGTTATACTTGACTTCTTTTAAATAAACTAAGTATTTATTTTTAATTTTTGTTATGCTGGCTCAGGAATTCTCTGAGTTAAAATCCACAGGTTATAGGGGCCATAGTTGCCCACTCTTGCACTAGTGAAACAATGAGAAGCAAAGTTTACCTTTTGAAAGAAGAAAAATGTAACTACAAGTTGACTCTCTGCCTTCTCACCACCATCCATTATCAATTGACTTTTTTTCCTTACATTAGAACTAGACTTTCTTTGCCTTTGTTTTAGTTTGTGGCATAACAAAAGCCCCCCCCCCCCCCCGTTTGGAGCATTTCTCATAAGCCTTAATGCATTCTATGCCTTTCTGACACAATTCCCATGGTTTATGGCATCTGGCTTGTATCCTTCTTTAGTTTATACACCTCTCCTTCCATTCCTCTCCTTTCAACATTTAGAAAACTAACTATTCTGTGCATTCACTTATTTTCTCTTTAATCAGTCTTTCAACTCTTCTCCAGAACAGATGTTAGGTTAAATAGTGAGCAAATTTCCTTTGTCACTTCTTGGCCCCTTTTTAACTCTGGGGCTCTTACAGTTATTTTGAAGTTTTTGTAGCGAGTATGCTGGTCATATACCTATCTCTCTCGGTGTCTATTTCCTCACTACTGAAAGCCTGTTCTTAAGCATACTTCTGCTGCCAGGAGGTCTTTCTTTAACTTCCAGGGATGTGTCCCTTTCCCCTCTTCCTTGGCATTATGTTTTTCTTTCCTGATCTTTACTGTACAGCAGAGATGGTATTCAGCTGGTTCGGACTGGTTCTGGCAAACCGGTAGTGGAAATCGCGGGTGGGCCTGCTCACCTGCCCTGGCTCTATGCTTTCCTACTTAGGCACGTTTTCAAGGCCAGGCGCATGCACGGAAGGCACAGGAGTGAGCAAAGCCATGCTTGGGGCGAACCAGTGGTAAGAATATTGGAAACCCACTGCTGCTTTTTGAGCAAGGTAGTCAGAGAGGGGTGCCATTATCTCATCCCCAAAGTCATCTGTCTTCTACAACCTCTATTTCTTTCACCACCTCTACTTCAGCCAACATGGCCTTAAGGGGTCAAAGTTACTCCCTAAGAAAGCCAGTCTCACTGCATCCTCAGGACTTTTATCCAGCTGTGTTACATGATAGTTGGTTAAGGTTATGTTTTTCAACCATGGCAAGTTTAAGATGTGCAGTCTTCAGTTCTCAGAATTACATGCTGATTGGGGAATACTGGGAATAGCAACCCAAACATTTTAGAGTTGCTAAAGATATAAAACATTAAGAATCTGGATATCTCCCATGTCTTTTCCTCCTATCTCAGTTACAGTAGTGGCCAAAATTGTGGAAACCTTTTGGGGAAAGTTATTTTCTAAACAGCTAATAACACCACTTTTTTTTTTTTGAGTAGTACAGTAAATTTATATATCAATGGAAAGATAATTTAATCAAGAATGTAATGCAGTAACTTTTATGAAGGATTTGCTATTGGAATAGCAGTTACAGTATAATGAAGAAAAGTGAAACACGTAGAAAAAATGAGATATACAAAAATGATCACCATGTCAGTTAATACTTAGTTGGGTAACCTTTAGCAGGAATTACGGCCTTACAACGTCTTCCCATGGAGTGAACCAAGTCTTTTAGTTCTGCAGCTGTTAAAATGTGAAATCAAGATTGAATGATTGCTTCTATGAACTGGGTTTTATTGCTGGGTCGCTTCTGACTTTTTCTTTAGTTTCTTTAATCGGCTCCATAGATTTTCAATTAGGTTAAGGTCTGGGCTATTCCCAAGCCATTCCAGCAGTGGAATAGGATTATCTTGAAACTCCAAAAAAAAAAAAAGTGATGTTATTAGCCATCAAACCTCAAAAATACACTTTTCCCCCAAAAGGTTTCCACAATTTTGGCCACTACTGTACAACTACAACTGGGATCAGATTTCCCATAGCTAAGCAAGGTAGCTGTTAAATGAGTCGTGCCCACCCTTCTTTGCCATGGATCTTAAGCAAATTGCTGCAGCTGTTAAGTGAATCCTGCTTTTCCCATTGACGTTGCTTGTCAGAAGCCAGTTGGAAAGATTGCAACTGGTGATTCCATGACCCTGTAATGCTGCAACCATCGTAAAGGCATGCTGATTGCCAAGTGCTTGAATTTTGATTCTATGATCATGGGGATCCTGCAACGACTGTAAGTGTGGGGAACTGTTGTAAAGGAATGGTTGTATGTTTGTTAAGGACTACCTGTATGTAGTTAATTGTTACATTTGAATACACTTGTTGAGGAATTCGCAGAGCAACCCTAGAATAGCAAGAGTGTGCACATGAAAGAGATTGAGAGCAGTTGCAAATAATCAAGCCAACACACAGATACACTGAGTTGTGTTTACTTTTAGGAAATAGCAATAAGGCACAGTCCAGGTCATACACAGATAAAGCAGTAGATAGTAATACAATAGTCCAGGGATATTCCAATAACAAAGTCTTCTTACCAGTCGTTGTAGTCATACACAATAAACAATTGCAAACACAGCAAATAGCAGTAACGATCAGTAATGTTCAGCAAAGAGTAGCAGAGAGCAGTAAAGAGATCAGAGTGAAACTAACCATGTTTCAAGCTCCCTCTTAAGGACATTGGCTACAGAACTAACTAATCAGGACACAGTATGATACAATACAGCAATACAGTCTTAAAGCTATATTGAGGTTTTAAATATTGCCAACCCAACAAGTTAGTAAATTATCATTTCCTAACATTCTCCCCTTTGGATAGGACGATATATAATACCTTACATTCTTAACCCATAATTATCACAACACAATTTGTGCTTAAGTGCACCCTGAGCCTTTGTAAAATTATCTGCAATATTGTGTTCAGTCATGCAGTACTCTAACTGAATCACTTTACTTTGTACACACTATCTAACGTTTAAATATCTCAAATCAGTATGCTTTGACCGTGTTTTTACAGCTAAATTAGTAGCCATGTTAATTGCAGATTGATTATCTTCGTAAACTATAAACGGATCATTCACATTTAATCCTATATCAATTAACAATTGTTTATAATATATCAATTCAGTGCATATCAAGGATAAACATGAAAATTCGGCTTCCAAAAGCATCCAACTAGGATGCTTTTGCCTAATAGATTTCCATCCTATTAAACAGTTAATTAAACAATTACCCAACATTATGACAATACCTGATGTTGATTTATGAGTAGGTAGATCAGTTGCAAAACTTGCATCAGCATATGTCTTTAAAACTAGGTCACTACTAGGCTCCAAATATAACGAATAATGAATCGTTTGTTTCAGATATCTAAGTATTCACTTAAGTCTTCCCATCAGTTTTTAAACCTAGTGGTTTCTTCATACAGATTGTGTGTTGTAACGGTGCATGTAGATATGCAGTTTCAACATCTATATGATTTATTTTATATCTATTCTTAGCTGCCCACACTAATGCTGCTCGCAAAGTAGTTGCCCTCAGACTCGGTGCAAACACTTCATCATAATCCTTATCTGACTGAGCAAATCCTTGAGCAACTAATCTTGCCTTATGGGTAACAGTCCCATCTGCACTGGTTTTTAATTTATAAACCCACTTACAACCAATTGCATGCTCACCTGGTGGTAACCTAACATTTTCATACACATCTAACTCTTTCAATGATGTCAGCTCTTTGTCCATTGCTTTCTTCCAAACTATCTAATCTGCCCCATCTGGGATAGGGAATTGGGCTGGATTTCAGGTAATTTTGTAGCAAAAGTCAACATAGCATTTACATGGGTGGAACAAAAGCAAGTCTGTTTTAATCACCCTGGTCCTTCTCCCTTTCCAAATTCCTTGCTCTCTAAAGATTGTTATGCTTCTCAGTCTTCTATTTGTTGCTTTTCAACCTAGTGTGATTTTCATCAGCCATCTTTTCGAGATCAGTAACCCAGGGCTCTCTCTGTCTTCCCTTCTTGTCACTTCTCATAATACCTCGAGCCTTGATGGTGAACCTATTGCACGTGTGCCAGAAGTGGCACGTAGAACCATATCTCCAGGCACGCGAGCCGTTGCCTGTTGGTCTTCTGGGTTCCAGCACACCAGCCAGCTGGTCTTCACGTGCATGAGAGCGCTGGAAACCAGAAGAGCAGCCGCCTGGTGCACATGCATGTGCCAAGAAGATGATCTTCCAGTTTCTGGTGCGCATGTTTCGGCACCTGGTGCCAAAAAAGTTCGCCAACAATGACCTAGAACTCTCTCTTTGGCTGGATTGTGCTGGTTTCCTTTTCTGCTACTCCCTGTTGCACACCTTGTTGTATTCTTTCTTTTCTTCTATCCTGCCAATAGGAGACAATCAGACCGTCTCCCTTCCTGACATACTTTAACCTATTTGTCTACCTTGCCATCTTCAGTTATTTATGGTGTTACATTACCTCAATGGCCTCAAGAATCTGGAAGCAGCTGGAGAATGCAGCTGTATTGTTCCAACCAGCTTTTCTTTCTCTTCATGAGATACTTAACAGGGCCAAGGGTTTTCACATGGCTCATAAAAGATGCCCCCAAAGGAAGCATGGGCAGTCATGGTGTTCAAAACCTTGTGTATATAAGTAATCAGCCCTTTGCAGGAGCAACAAACATGGTGTGGCAGATGGCAAGACCTTTTTGAGATGGGACAGTGGTGGGGTTTTTTGGCTCTAATTTGCCTAGATCAGGGCTCGGCAACCTTAAACACTCAAAGAGCCACAAAGGTCCTAACCGGAATCCCCCCATTCAATTCTGGAGCTGACCGGAAGTCTGGTTCCTCCACCATAGAGTCTCCTCCTAGCACAGCGTCCTTTTTCCTCTGCTGACCGGAAGTCTGATTCCCCCCACTATAGAGTCTCCTCCTAGCACGGCATTCTTTTTCCTATGCCAACCGGAAGTCTGATTCCCCATACCATAGAGTCTCCTCCTATCGCGGCATCCTTTTTCCTCTACCTGTCCTAACCGAAAGCCCTATTAATTGTGGAGCCGACCAGCGACAAGGAGCTGCAGCAAAGGGATGAAAGAGCCACATGTGGCTCCAGAGCCGTGGGTTGCTGACCCCTGGCCTAGACCATGGGAGAAGCAGGCCTAAGCCTAGTTGTGCCCCTTTGCCTCATCAACAGATGGCTTGTGTAATGGAAAGAAGGACTCATTTGCCTGTCTAGGAACCTCAAACTTCTCTTTCATGCCACCTAAGCTAAACTTTTCACAGTACTCTGAAAGTTGCCTTTTAAATCTCAGAACAGGAAAGAGTGTACAGGGAGATAACATAGAAGGTTGTTCCTATTGTACTTTCTGGAGAGATTTAATGCAGCTCTTTACCGATTTTTGTTGTGTGGTGACACAATGGCTATTTGTGTTTGGTAAATTTGTCATTATCTCAACTGAGCACCTGTGATCTCTCGGCACAGGAGGCTGTATTTCATGCCTAGAACACTGGAGCTCGGCTATGAGCAACAGGGGAAAGCTGAAATCATTCTTCGCATACAGAAACCATGTTCTCTTCATTGCAAATCAGGAGCTTTGAACATTTGTTTGAGTAAGAGGCTCATCGGGTTTTTCTGATAACTTTGCTATTGATTTTAGCTTAGCAAATGCTGGGTTCTCTTGGTATATATGCCTGAGCGTGATAAGTTTGATCCCAATCGCAACTGATCACACCTTGGGGAGTAAGCAAAAGATGGCCCTTTCATTGAATGGATGAGACATTTATCCCAGAAGTCAGATTTGTATGGGCCATTGACTTACTGAAAGAGTCATTGTTATCTCTTTTGTTTTACTGCACCATTTATCTCTAAATGATATTTCTTCACCCTGTCAAGAGTCACCTGGCAAATGTGATGTCACAACCATCAATCCTGATATCACTGAAACAAACACAGCCCGTACTATGACTAAAGATGTTACACAGTGTGTGCATTCCTATTGCCCAGGCAACCAAAGTGAATCTTCTGCCTTGGCTTGTTTGTGTGGTTTCTTTTTGCATAAAGTTTTTTATTTTATAACATATAAAAATTCCATTTTTGGTTAAACAGTGTGTTGTCTGGGTACAAATAGTTTTAGGAAATTATCATCAAAGTGTTTACAACAGTGTTCATTACACTGATATTCCTTCTATCGTAATAATCATAATCATAATACTGATACTTGCTTATCCATTTTAAAAAACCTCCTTTTTTTCATTGGTCCTTTTCTTACATTTCCATGTTTCTAACTTCTGTTTTTGTCAGCTAACCATTGATAAAATAAGTCCCACGTCAAAAAGTATTCAGTTTCTTTCTTTTCCTTAACTGTAAGTGTTAATCTATCCATTTCTGCACATTCTAATATTTTTTTAAATCACATTTTCATCTGTAGGGATCTCTTCACTTTTCCACTGTTTTGCAAATACAATTCTGGCTGCAGTCAATACATGTAAAATCGAATATGTATTGTATTCCCCTTGTTATACGTATCTGATAAAATGCCCAACAAAAATATTTCCGGTTTTAAATCAATATGTTGCTTTACCATTTTTTCCAACCGTGTATGTATTTTTGTCAGTGGTGAAATGTAAAATTTGTTACTACCGGCTCTGTGGGCGTGGCTTGGTGGGGGGGTGGTAATGTGATTGGGTGGGTGTGGCCAAGTTTTTTTTTTTTTTAGTTTTAAAAGCATTTTTTCTACAAAAATGGTTGCAGAAAAAAGTGCTTTTAGAAGCCTCTGATGATCAGGCAACTCAGCTGGGATCACCAGAGGCTTTTAAAGGCATTTTTTCCCCCTACAACCTCTTTGGCCGAAGAGGTTGCAGGAAAAAATGCTTTTAGAAGCCTCTGACAATCAGGCAACTCAGCTGGGATCGCCAGAGGCTTTTAAAGACATTTTTTTTCCTACAACCTCTTCGGCCAAAAAGTTTGCAGAAAAAAATGCTTTTAGAAGCCTCTGACGATCCAAGCTGAGCCGCGCAATCATCAGAGGCTTTTTTTTTTACTTTTAAAAGCATTTTTTCGGCCGAAGAGGTTGTAGAAAAAAATGCTTTTAAAAGTTTTTTAAAAAGCCTCTGATGATCACGCGGCTCAGCTGGGCATAGGGGAGGGGGCAGGGATTTTTGCTACTGGTTCTCCGAACTACCCGCCGCCATCGCTACCGGATCGGGTGAACTGGTCCGAACCGGGAGCATTTCACCCCTGATTTTTGTCCAATATTTTTTTACTTTTGTTTTTGCTTGCCTTGGCTGTGTTGTGTTCACACTTCCATTGCTATTATCAGCAGCTTTCCCAAAATCCCAGTGTCAGTCATATGCAGTTTCACAGCCAGATGAAAATATTAGAAATGTATATATAGTGTGTGCATCACTGACCATATTTTTCTTCTCGATCAACATTGTACAGCTGGGCCAAGGGAAATGAATATTGATTGGTTTGCCTCACTGGTTTATTTCCTTTTAGTTTAAATTTGTGGGTACTTATAGTCTGTAAAAAAAAAAAACCTGATTTCTTCAATTTTCAGCTCCTGGCTTTTGCAACAAATAGAAAGATATGGTCTGTAAGTCGGGCAGCATTTTGGATTCCAAAGGCAAAAGGTGCTTCAGTGAACTTGTGGGTGAATAAACCTCTGTGTTAGTACTATAATGCCGCTGCATTATTTCTCATTATTTTCTCACGGTTGCCAACTTCTGATGCCAAAGACATTGCAGAATCTCATGAAAATTCCATCTGCTTTAAGGAGTTGCAATTAAAGGGTTTATTTTTGAGCCCTATGCGCTTCTTTTGGTCTTCAAATCTGAAATTTTTATATAGCGCTACATTTAGATTTGAATGGGAAAAGTGGGCTGAGCCATTAGGCAGCACAATTGCCTGGTCACCAGATCTACCGCCTAAAAAAGAAAGGAGAGATGTAACATATCGGTTATTAAAGGGCAGGGCTGTCAGTTTGATGGATGTATGACTCAGGGGTGAAATCCAGCAGGTTCTGACAGGTTCTGGAGAACCGGTAGCGGAAATTTTGAGTAGTTTGGAGAACCGGCAAATACCACCTCTGGCTGGCCCCAGAATGGGGTGGGAATGGAGATTTTGCAATATCCTTTCCCCAGGAGTGGGGAGAGAATGGGGATTTTATAGTATCCTTCCCCTGGAGTGGGGTGGGAATGGAAATTTTGCAATATCCTTCTCCCAGGAGTGGGGAGGGAACGGAGATTTTGCAGTATCCTTCCCCTGGAGTGGGGAGGGAATGGGGATTTTGCAGTATCCTTCCTCTGCCACACCCACCAAGCCATGCCCACCAAGCCACACCATACCCACCAAGCCACGCCCATAGAACTGGTAGTAAAAAAAATTGGATTTCACCACTGGTATGACTTTACTCCTACCGATGCATGTCCTCATTTAGTGGCTGGAAGACTCAAATCCAGGAAGCCCCCACTGACACTTGTGCAACATCTGCCCATTAACTTTAACATCGATTCCCACTGCAAAGCCAAATGAGCTGCTAAACGCCCAGATATAGGAAGACATATAAATGACCCCACAAAAAAGGTGCCAGATTTTGAACTAATACTATGAATGCCTATGGTGACAGATATAGTCTACAGTTGTGTTTGGGGCCAGATCTGACAGGGCAAGTTACTGTCTATGAACAGGGAGCAAACCCCACTTACTAACACTGATGATTACCCAACTATGTTACATAATTGGGTAATGGTCTCCAAGCAAAAAACTCAAGCCGGGAGATTACAAACGGACTCCACAGTTCAACCCTGAGCTACATGTATTTCTCTTCTATTAGAGGGCCGCATCATAATCATAGCTTCAAATACTTGGAAAGTAATGGGCATGGCTAGTCTAGTGAAGAGAAGAGAAAGACCAGGGGAGACATGATAACAGTGTTCCAATATTTGAGGGGCTGCCACAGAGAGGAGGGGGTCAAGCTATTTTCCAAAGCACCTGAAAGCCAGACAAGGAATAATGGATGGAAACTGATCAAGGAGAGATTCAACCCAGAAATAAGGAGAAATTTTCTGACAGTGAGAACAATCAACCAATGGAACAGCTTGCCTTTGGACGTTGTGGGAGCTTCATCACTGGAGACTTTCAAGAAGAGATTGGACTGCCATTTGTCAGAAATGGTGTAGGGTCTCCTGCTTGGGCGGGGGATTGGACTACTAGATGACCTTCAAGGTCCCTTCCAATTCTGTTATTCTATTAATATCATAATTTAAGCTGGGAACAAATATTAGAAGGATCTTTGGATCCTGATCTTCAGTAATAGAACTCGAAATGTGTTGTTATTATCATGGTTATTATTGGTATTTTCCAATTTTTTGGATTCTAATCAAGTCTAGAACTCATGGACTTATTCCTGTAGAATAAAGGAAGTTTTAAACAAGATGGTTTTTTGTAAGTCAGTGGTTTTCAAGTTCAGTAAATCTAAAACATTCAAATATTTGGTGAATCCCTTTGCTATAGATCCAAGGATGATGATGATGATGAAGAAGAAGAAGAAGATTCAGAAAGTATTAGACACCACATAGATTAGAACTGTAAAATTCAAAAATTGACATTTTAATGAAAGTCAAGAGGAGTCACATTGCTAATACATGGATCTCCTAAATTAGTCCTACTAACTAGTGATTAAATAGAAACAATTGAAAGGCAATCTTGTGCTGGCTTCTTTTTCAACTACCAGAGCCTCCATCAAGCTATTCCATCAAGAGCAGACAGCACGAGGTCTGTATTCAAACCTTTGATTCCTATGCGGGAACTGTCATTTTGTTTATCAAGAAGTATTGATTCATCCCATTATTAAATGTCATCTTCAACCTAAGAATTTCTCTTCAGGTGCCATCAGCCAGAATTTTTCTGAAGAGACATCCTTTTGTGAGTAGCTAAAATTTGCCAAGTGAAATTATTAATCCTAAATTAATGTTTAACACTTAACTGTGAAGTTTCCGAAAGATGCCCTAATTAATTCATGAGCTATGAGCCGAACTTCAAAAGAAATACAGTCATTTATTAGGAGCACCATTTCGGCAATATTCGGATGCAGTTAGAACTAATCCCACCTAGATTTATGTTCCCCTCCTCTCTAGCCATGTCATAAATCACATTCTCCAATTAACCACTTTGGCTGGCTGTGAAATCTAACACCCTCCTTCTGATTGCGGTCAGGAAAAATGTATGGAATGCACTTCAGTTAGGGAAATCAATCAGCTCTATCAGTTCTCCCTCCCTCCTGCTCATGGCAACTTGAAAGCTTTGCAAGTTGACATTCGGCTCCCCTCACTTCCCGAGGGCAACCTGTGCAAAGCAAAACAATTTGAGTACAGATGCAGAGTTCATTTAGGGAAATCAATCAGCTCTATCAGGTCTGACTTCTGGAGTATCAAGACTGGTGATTAGAATGCCAACTTCTCAATTATTTCCAGTCAGTAGCTGGAAATATATATTTTTTTTTTCATGTGTTTCTGAACACTGCAAAACTCTTTCCTACATTTTTGGATGGCAAAACTGCTTTCTTTTTCTTCATAATTATTTGAGATCTAGCTATGCCAAGAATATTTTCTCCATTTATCATTTTTCTATTAGGAGTTACTTTAGGCTTTTAATATGATGGGATTTCTTTAAAAAAATTATGTGGCAAACAATGAGAATCAATATTCTATTACAATTTTGAGAGATGTATGGATCAACCCTAAGAGGTGGTTAAAGAATTCAGCGAACTCACTTGTTCATCAAATGTCCATATCACATTTCTTCAAACCGATCTGCCTTCTAGTGACTGAACTTCTCAGCAAAGTCTATCCAGGCTGGAAATTACTGCAAGCAGATTGTTCATACATCTGAAGTTGTAGAAAATGTTACAAAACCTGCCTTGTTTTGCTTGTTCATTTGATCCAGATATAACAATTATTATATTCTTCAGGGATATATCAGTGGTGGGTTTCAAATTTTTTTACTACCGGTTCTGTGGGTGTGGCTTGGTGGGCGTAGCATGGCATGGCTTGATGGGCGTGGCTTGGTGGGCATGGCAGGGGAAGGATACTGTAAAATCTCCATTCCCTCTCCACTCCAGGGGAAGGATACTGTAAAATCTCCATTCCCTCCCCACTCCAGAGAAAGGATACTGTAAAATCTCCATTCCCTTCCCAATCCAGGGGAAGGTTACTGCAAAATCCCCATTGCATCCTGATCAGTTGGGATTTGGGAGGCAGAGAATAGATGGGGGCAGGGCCAGTCAGAATTTTTACTAATGGTTCTTTGAACTACTCAAAATTTCCGCTACCGGTTCTCCAGAACTGGTCAGAACCTGTTGAAATCCACCTCTGGAACATATCCTTAAAAAAAGAAGAAGTAAAAGTGAGATTTGTATTTTATATATATACAGCCAAGAATTTCACTTGGAATATATTAAAAACAATCAAAAATTTGTATAATTCTATATTCATTAATTCACCATTCATTCATATATTAATTTAATACATTTGTATAGCTGCACATCTATCCTATGAATTCTGGACACTGAACAAAGTTTTTTTAAAATTCAATTTACAATCACAAGAAACTAAAACGGTCGTGTAAACACATCAAACACATCCACATTTATGCCAGAGTTTTATCAAAATCCTGGCCCCATGGCCTTTCTGGAAGGCCACAGGGCTGGGATCAGAGGTGGGTGGCACATGAATTAACAACCGGTTCGCCCCAGCACCAAAAATGTGCGTGCGCGCCTTCTGTGCATGCACACGGACAACTGTGCATGCGCTTTGCTTGTGCACGCACTCGCATGCATGCACGGCGCTTAAAAAAACATGGCTAAATAGGATGGCATGGCCAGGTCACAACTACTGGTTCACCCAAACCGGCAGCAGCCCATCACTGATTGATTGATTGATTGATTGATTGATTGATTGATTGATTGATTGATTTATTTATTTATTTATTTATTTATTTAATTCAATTTGTATCCCGCTCTTCTCCTAGTGGACTCAGGGCGGTGCACAGCCAGAACTAAAACACATACCAATACAAAATTTAAAATTTTTAAAAGAATTATATGACTTTGGCCCAAAGTTTAAAACATTCAAACTAAAACCCATTGACAATTTAAAAGGCTAAAAAAAAGGGGGGGGTGTTCACGCCAGCCCTGCTTGATGGAAAAGAAAAGTTTTTAGGGCACGGCGAAAGACCCAGAGATCTGATATCCTTCGTATCTCCGGGGGCAAATCGTTCCAGAGGGCAGGAGCTGCCACAGAGAAGGCCCTCCCCCTGGGGGTCGCCAGCCGACATTGCCTGGCTGACGGCACCCTGAGGAGTCCCTCTCTGTGGGAGCGTACTGGTTGGTGGGAGGCTATCGGTGGCATTATTGGGATTGGGATTGTCCATAGCTAGCCACATAGAACATAGAATAACGAGGTTGGAAGAGACCTTCTAGTCCAACCCCCTGCCCACAGCAGGAGATCCTGTACCATTAAGGGCTTTCTTTGGGCTTGATGGGATGAATACATGTGGTCATAGAAAGAATAACAGAATAGAATAACTGAATTTGAAGGGATTCCAACAGTCCTCCAATCTCACCTCCGCTCAAACAGGAGACCCTATACCAGTGATGGTGAACCTATGGCACGCATCCCAGAAGTGGCACACAGAGCCCTTTCTGTGGGCATGTGCGCCATCGCCAGCTGCTCTTCTGGTTTTTGGCGTGCACATGTACACCAGCCAGCTGGTCTTCATGGGTGCCAGAGCGCCGGAAAACAGCCTGAAAACGGCCCCCAAAATGGCCAAAAACAGCCAAAAAACAGGCCGTTTCTCAGGCCATTCTCAGGCCATTTTGGGGGGCATTTTCAGTCTGAAAGTGGCCTGAAAACTGCCCGAAAAATGGCCTGAAAATGCCCCCCAAAACGGCCAAAAATGGCCAAAAAACAGGAATGTGTGCACCAGCCAGCTGGTCTTTGGGTTTCTGGTGCTCCGGCGCGCACACCTGCATGTACAGACACGCATGTTCTGGTTTGGGCACTCGGTGCTGAAAAGATTCGCCATCACTGCCCCATACCATTTCAGACAAAAGGCATGACTCGTGACAGAGAAGGCCTGCTTCCTAGGACCCACCGAATGACATTATTTCAATTTTGATGAAGAGCCTTGGTAGTACAGTGATCTAAGGCACCCTGTTATTAAGCTGGTTATTAAGACCAGCTGTCTGCAATTACTGCAGGTTCGAATCTCGCCAAGGCTCAAGGTTGACTCAGCCTTCCATCCTTTCTAAGGTAGGTAAACTGAGGACCCAGTTGTGGGGGCAATAAGCTGACATTGTATAAATATACAAAAGGATGAAGGCTATTGCTGAGCACATTGTAAGCCGCCCTGAGTCTCCGGAGAAGGGGGCATATAAATCAAATTTAAAAAAAAAATTGATGGGACTTGGAGCATGTCTACTCTGACAGAACTGATGGGCAGACCCTGTCAGAGAAATAAGGTCTCACAAATAACCTGGCCCTATGCCCATGGCCAGATTTAGATGAAAAGAGGCCCTAGGCTATTCCACTTATGAGGCCCTTTCACCTATAGTGAAAGTGTAATTTTAATTTTGCTAACAATTTTAATGTAGGCCCCTCTTGATCTTGAGACCCTAGGCTGAAGCCTAGTTAGCCTATAGGAAAATCCGGCCCTGCCTATGCCACATGCAGCTTTAAAGATGGCAACCAGCACCTTGACTTTCACCCCTTATGCTGGGGATAAGTGCAGCTCACATGGCAGTCGTGTTGAGTAGATATACCTGTTGCACCTAAACAAATGCCACTGCATTTGGGCCAGCTAATGCTTTTATGGAATAAGATCCAGTAAAAATCAAGTTCATCCCTAATCAGCATTGCATATTTCAAGGCAATATTTAATTAAAATAAATTTTTGATGTTACTGATACATTTCCTGGTGTTTTTTTTTCTTTTTCTTTTCTTAAATTCCTCTAGTGACCTATGGGATGACGAGTTCAAATGCCTATTACTATACCAAGGTGATGTCTGAACTCTTTCTGCAGACTCCTTCAGACAGTGGTGTCTCCTTCCAGACCATTGGAAGCATGGCTGACTTTTGGCGAGTGAGTGCCAAGACGTTTTGGATGCTGACTTTTTGTGTCAGATGATGTAGCAGTTCTAAATATGGCTCAGTGACTGAAAACTGCTAGGATTCTTTTGAACTGGCTTGAATCTGCCTAAGTGAATTGTACACATGTGGAAACGTGTATATTTCATTACCAGATAGCTTATGCACAGTTGCAATGAAAATAAACGTACACAGTTCATCCTGTTGTGTATAAGCGATCTCTGCACATTCCAGGACTAAGTTATAATCAGTTCACCCATACCTCCATGTGAGGCTTGTTTGTTTGTTTGTTTGTTTATTGAAAATTTATATGGCTGGCTAACTCATTCTCTGTGACTTTGGGCAATAACAAACCCAGTAGAAAAACAATAGAAAACACCCCTAATGACAACAATCATATTGCTTTCAATTCCTCTTGTCTATATATCAAAGATTCAGACCATATACCAGTACACTTTTTCCTCTACAACAGGGATGTCAAACTCAAGGCCCACAGGCCAAATCCAGGCCACGAGGTGCTTAGATCTGGCCTGTGGGGCCAGCCTGGAACCAGCAAAGGACCGGCGTGCGGTGTCTCTGCCAGCGAAAATGTAGCTCAGGGGGCCATGTGAGGAAGGAAGGAAGGAAGGAAGGAAGGAAGGAAGGAAGGAAGGAAGGAAGGAAGGTTATAATGAGAGTAAAGGGGCTCTCGGAGAAGTCCTGCCTTAGCATTTGGCCACCACAGGTTTCCCCTGAACTGGACAGGTCCACCATGGACATAACCCCCCCCCACAACCTCCGAGGTCAAACATAACTCTGATGCAGCCCTCAATGAAATCGAGTTTGACACCCCTGCTCTACACTATTATGCAAAGAAAGAGCACTAACCAATTCCAATTTACAGACAAGGACTCAGTTGAACTGCAGTTGAAATTCAATCATACTGAGTCAGTCATTGGAGATTACAAACCTTTTTGGCCATCTCAGAAGCTCTTTGGATCATAAATGGCAAAGTTATCAGAACCATTTCCTGAACTTTTGGATTGAACTTTTGAAACAGGAAACACCATAAATCTATCCTGTAACCCGTAGAAGAGACTTCAGCTAGCTTTTAAAAAAAAAATCCAAGAAATATCCTTTTCCCCCAAAATAAGACACAACTGGAAAATAAGCCCTAGCAGGATTTTTCAGGATGCTCGTAATATAAGCCCTACCCCAAAAATAAGCCCCAGTTAAGATCATCAACCAGATGGATGTTTCAGTACCGTATTTCCCTGAAAACAAGACCTAAATGGAAAATAAGCCAGAATAGAATAGAATAGAATAGAATAGAATAGAATAGAATAGAATAGAATAGAATAGAATAGAATAGAATAGAATAGAATAGAATTTTTTATTGGCCAAGTGTGATTGGAACACAAGGAATTTGTCTTGGTGCATATGCTCTCAGTGTACGTAAAAGAAAAGATACGTTCATCAAGAATCATAAGGTACATCTTTTGTATAATCATAACACATCTTTTGGAGCAAAAATTAATATAAGACCCAGTCTTATTTTCGGGGAAATACGGTAGCCACAATTGCTCATTCTTGCATTAATACAATTTCTTCCATTTTGACATACGCAAAAAAGCGAATTAGATTAATGTCATTCTGTGTCATGTGGCTGTTTCAGATAACATTCCTCTTTTTCTTTTATCTCCATAGTATACACAAGGACCTTTCCTGGATAGTTTGTATTGGACTAAATGGTATAACAATAAATCTATGGGCCACAATGCACAATCATATATCTATTACGAGAACTTACTGCTTGGTGTCCCACGGCTACGACAACTCAAGGTCCAGAACAACTCATGTGTGGTGCATGACGATTTCAAAGAAGATATTGCTGGTTGTTATGATGTCTACAGTGAAGAGAAAGAGAACACATCACCCTTTGGACTCTTGAATGGGACAGCGTAAGTAGAGTAGAACCTTTTTGATTTTCATAAATTACAGCTCTGAAGTACACCTCAATTTCAGAAAATAAGATGGCAGTCAGTTTGTTGTATAGATTCAGAGTAGTGGTGGGTGTCAACTGGTGTTACCACCGGTTCGCTTCATGTATGCACTCCGCGCAAGTGCAGTTTATTAAGGAACAGCTGAGACACGGCAATCCGCTCTGCCGCGCCTTTCAGCTAGGCTAAAAACGACCAAATATAAGGTATGTATAATGCAGGGGCGGGCGGGAGGCAAAACTAACCGTCAGAGAGAACCGGTTCACACTTACCTCACCAACTCCGCTACCAGCTCGCACGAACCGGGGAGAACCGGTAGCAGCCCACCACTGATTCAGAGGCACAATATCATTTGGTCTCATTTTTTTTGTCTCGTTTATTTTAAAATCATATATAGTCATTAAAAGAGCTTGGAAGCTTTCAAAACACCTGATAACAGAAACATAAAATGACAGGAAACATAAAATCCATCAGAATGAAAACCTCTGTTAGATATCATAACTTCTAAGTAAGGCAACATTAAATTTCCGTAACAGGGCTGTCAGAAGTGAGAAATGTTTTCCGTTTTGAGCTTGCGAGAAAGAACCCTGCTCAAAATATTTCATTAGAACATTTTAAAACTCAAAATCATTATTCTACGTTCCACTGAAACAAAATTCAAAATTCAAAATAGCACATGGGCATGTAGAAAAAGCCCTTGCTCCCTTCTTTTTTTTTTCACCGCTGTGACACAAATATAACATGCTGACTGCTATATGCCATGCAATCTGCAAAACTATTAGTCAAAGAAAATTTTTAAGAGAATGTTGTTAAAAATCCTCATTGGAAAAAATATATAATGTAAGTGAGAAAGACCTTGGGATATAGGGAGCAGAGATATTGCCAAGAGATGTCAGATAAGACAGTACAGCCCACAGCTGGATAGTGGATGGGACAAGAGGCTCAGAAGGGACCTTCCCAGAGATGGTATTCAGCCGGTTCGGACCGGTTCACCCGAACCAATAGTGGAAATCATGGGTGGGCCTGCCCTGCCCTGCCCTGCCCTGCCCTGCCCTGCCCTGCCCTGCCCTGCCCTGCCCTGCCCTGCCTCTATGCCATCCTATTTAGGCAAGTTTTTGAGGCCGAGGGTATGCGTGGTAGCTGTGCGAGCACTCACATTTGCAAATTGGTAGGGAAGGTAGGTGAATACCACCCCTGGGCCCTCCCCAATTTATTGCATTGTTAAGGCAGCGGGGGGGGGGGAGAGATGTACTTTCACACTTGCAAAATACTATTAAGGTAGCCTTACAATAAAGAAGAGCTGGTGCATCTGGGTGTCTTTCTTGTCTAGATTACCTTGCAAGGTTGTCAATGAATCAAGTGGATCTGTGAATTTAGATTCCTGCCTTGAGAAGGAAGTTGGATTGCAGATCTAAGATTCTGACTTTTTCCCATAATTCCTTCCTCTTCACAACTCTCCTTACTTTTGAGTCCTAATATTCATAGCATTCATGTCACCAAAATAAATAGCCAAGGGAGAAAAGTTAATCCCTGTACTTCATATAGTATTTCAAGAATGCTGCTGATAGGCGGGGTGGGCTTCAAAAAGTTTAGCAAGGGGTTCTGTGCCCAGTTGCTGGGTGGATGTAGCCATGGTGGGTGTGGCCTAGTCGGCTTCCTTAACCATGGCGGAGAGGGGTGTTTTTGCCCTCCCCGGGCTCCGGAGGCTTTCCTCTAGCCTGTGGGAGGGCGAAAATGGTCTCCCCAGGCTCCAGAGGCCTCTGGAGGCCAGAAACAGGCCCATTTCCAGCCTTCCTGAACTTCTGGTAGGCCCGTTTTTCACCCTCCCCAAGCCTCTGTGCATGCCTTCACTTACCTTCATCCAAAACAGATGGCGTGGGGACTCCTAGGAGGGGCGGGGTAGGGTGGGTGGGGCCAGCCAGGAGTGGGATTTGGGGGTTCTCTAAACTGCACGGAATCTTAGCTAGAGGTTCTCCCAAACCCCTGCGAACCCCCAGCAGCCCAGCCCTGCTGATAGGTTACTGGTTAACTTAATTTCCTCAAACACAATATCATTCTCTATATCCATGAGACAGTTGAACAGTAGTTTTGTTCTTGGAGAGGGAATCATGGATGAAGCATGCAGCTCAACCTGAGCCAACTCAAGACATTGTGCATTTTCCTTTCGCCACTTCTCACTCTCTTTTTTTTCTCCATAATAACTTTTGTGGCGCAGGTGGCAATATTACACAGAGCAAGAACTCGATGGCTCTTCCCACTGGGGCAGGTTAACAAGTTATAGTGGAGGAGGCTATTATGTAGACCTCAAAATAACCCGGGAAGAAAGTGCCGAAACTCTGCAAATCTTGAAAGAAAATCTATGGCTGGATCGGGGCACCCGTGCTGTTTTTATGGACTTCTCCGTGTATAATGCCAACATCAACCTGTTCTGTGTGCTCAGGTAAGTGGCATTTGAACATGTCAGTTCTGGCTCATTCTTCTGAAATTATCTTTTGAACTTTTCCTTGTCTTTATTTTTTTTTTCTAGAATTTTTTTTATTAAGCCATTTTCATTCAGAAAATCAACTTTGTGATACTCCTGTATGATCCATAACATTTCTTACTCAGAAGCAAGAGTAAAATTAGTGATAAGTACCATGTTTCCCCAAAAATAAGACCCCGTCTTATATTTTTTTTAACCCCGAAATACATGCTTGGCCTTATTTTCAGGGATGTCTTATTACTTTGGGGCGTGTGGAGCAAGATGGGGCTCCTCTTGCCATCTTACCTGATTTCCAGCTCAGTCTCCCTAACCCTAACCAGAGGAAATGGTGGGGACCAGCTGAGCAGGCATTTAAATATTTTCGGGGAGGGCTTATTTTCGGGGTGGGGCTTATTTCAGCGCATGCGCTCAAAAGCCCAATTGGGTTTATTATCAAGGGATGTCTTATTTTAGGGGAAATAGGGTAATAACCAGATAATATTTACATGGAAACAAGCCTAACTGAATATGTCATTCTTTTGATCAAAAAAAGATGGAGATCTTATTTCAATATGGCAATTCTTTTCAACCTTGGGAACTTTAAGATGTATGGACTTGGGAATTCTTGATGTTGACATCCATATATCTTAAAGTTCCCAAGGTTGAGAAAAACTGCAGTATACAGTAGTGGCCAAAATTGTGGAAACCTTTTGGGAAAAGTGTATTTTTGAGGTTTGATGGCTAATAACACCACTTTTTTTTGTTGTTGTTGTTGAGTTTCAAGATAATCCTATTCCACTGCTGGAATGGCCTGGGAATAGCCCAGACCTTAATCCAATTGGAAATCTATGGAGCCAACTAAAGAAATGTGTTAATCAGAAGTGACCCAGCAATAAAACCCAGTTTTATTGAAGCAATCATTCAATCTTGGTTTCACATTAGAACAGCTGCAGAACTAAAAGACTTGGTTTACTCCATGGGAAGATGTTGTAAGGCCGTAAATCATGCTAAAGGTTACCCAACTAACTATTAACTGACATGGTGATAATTTTTGTATATCTCGTTTTTTCTACGTGTTTCACTTTTCTTCTTTATACTGTAACTGCTCTCCTAATAGCAAATCCTTCATAAAAGTTATTGCATTACATTATTGATTAAATTATCTTTCCATTGATATATCATTTTATGGTACTACTCCAAAAAAAAGTGGTGTTATTAGCTAGTTTTACAAAATACACTTTTCCCAAAAGGTTTTCACAATTTTGGCCACTACTGTATGGAGGCCAAACCAACTCAGGAGAACCAGCCCCAGTCAAATGCTCTCTCCTTCTCCCTCCTTATACCCAATTCATACCTTGAAATGCTGAGATGGTCCTAAACCTGTAGTGCTGATGATGGCATAGAAATGGAGAAAAAGCAGTCCTAAGCCTACGTGAATAGCAGAGTATTGGAAACTGTGGAATGGTGAAATAAAATACTGTAAAGGTGGAATGGGGGAACTAGTGAGTGGATTCCTTGGCTGGTAGAAGTACAATGTGGCTGAACATCTTGATATAACAGGAATACTACCAAATAGGTAAATTTCAAAAATGGCTTTTTCTTATTTTGTTTTCTTCACTTTTGTGCAAAAGTGAATCACCAGTGTTATTGCAATTCCCCAGGGATTGTGGAAGAAATAAAAAGTTAATTTCCAAATAGATTAATCTTTCTATTTTAAATATTTCTATATATATCTAGTAGCCGATTTTCCAACAGGAATATGCATATAAAAAGAATATTAGCCCTTGCTAATATTTATGGTATGTTTATACACCATCATCTCTGCTGCCTAGGTTGGTGGTGGAATTCCCGGCCACTGGGGGCGCCATTCCCTCATGGCAGATCCGGACCGTGAAACTCCTCCGGTATGTCAGCACTTGGGATTTCTTCATTGTCTCTTGTGAAATTGTCTTCTGCATCTTTATCTTCTATTATGTTGTGGAAGAAATCTTGGAACTGCACATTCACAGGCTTCAATACTTCACCAGCATCTGGAACATTTTGGATATAGTGGTCATTTTGGTGAGATTTCCTCTGTTTTTTTTTTCTTTTAATAACCCAGTAATCCCTTGCGGGGTGGAGTCAGGGCAACTGAATGGAGCTGAGTGTTTACTGGCTGGATGCCCTTCCTGTCGCCAATGCGGAGTTCTCAGTAGATATTTTCTTATCGTGCCCACAGAAAGATATATCTGTCAGCACTTCAACCTGCATTTGCTGACACATTTGCTGCAGTTGGCAAGAGGACGCTTGACTCACCTACTTATTTTCCCTGAAGATAATATCCCCTAGGAGATGAGATGGGAGGGGGGACATTCCTGGGAGCTGAAATAGTAGATATGGGGAGAGTGATTTGGAAGATGGCCAATGAGACGCAGAGAATTGGGGAACGGAAAGGGAAGGTTTGGGGTCAGGAAGTCAGTGTTGGCTACGCCACTATCAGCGACAGATTGTCATGCTTAATAAAATGGAAGATTTTATCAAAGACTATTTGTTTGGAAATGCAATTTATTTTATTTGTGATGACACCGAAACCTGACAATATCTGCCTCTACCTAGAATCGAACTCACAGTCTCCTGATGGTGAGGCAAGAACTCCACCTCTAGGCCTGTGCGTTGGAATTCCACAGCAGAGATTTGGCAAGGGAAGGGATGAGAGGGGGGGAAGGAACCACTTTTGCACCTTCTGCCCTTTCTATTGAATCTCACATTTTTCTCAGCTTTCTATTTTAGCCATTGGATTCCACATTTTTCGTACCATTGAAGTCAACAGGTTGATGGGGCAGCTGCTAAAAAACCCCAACATCTACGCAGACTTTGAGTTTTTGGCTTTTTGGCAAACCCAGTACAACAACATGAATGCTGTGAACTTGTTCTTTGCCTGGATCAAGGTACTTTTCATCCTTTGTCTCTCATCCCAATTTGAAAATGTAAGAATTGTCTCAGTAGGGAGATAACAGTAGGGACGTAGTGGCTCAGTGGCTAAGACACTGAGCTTGTCAATTGAAAGGTTGGCAGTTCAGCGGTTTGAATCCTTAGCGCCACGTAACGGGGTGAGCTCCTGTTACTTGTCCCAGCTTCTGCCAACCTAGCAGTTCGAAAGCACATAAAAAATGCAAGTAGAAAAACAGGGACCACCTTTGGTGGGAAGGTAACAGCATTCCGTGTGCCTTTGGCATTTAGTCATGCCAGCCAGATGACCACGGAGACGTCTTCGGACAGTGCTGGCTCTTCGGCTTTGAAATGGACATAAGCACCACCCCCTAGAGTCAGGAACGACTAGTACATATGTGTGAGGGGAACCTTTCCCTTTCCCTTTAGGGAGATAAGGTGGCAATAAAGGAACAGTGCTGGTACTTGTTTATTGTTTTGATTTATACCCTGTTATTCCGTCCATAGAGCACTCAAGGTGGCCAACAGTCTAAAATAAAAATAACCAGACAATTAAAACCAAATGAGAACAGTTAACATCATTTAATTGCACATTCTGTCTGAAGAGAAAGATCTCTTCCTTGAAAGTGCCAGGGCCAAATGTAATTCCTGAAGGAAGATAATTCATAGATGGGGAGTAATTCAATAGATGGCATTGGGAAAGTATTTCCACTCATTTCCCCCTTTTTTGGATTGCAGAACAATAAATGGGAAACAAGCTGAGAATGTCAATTTATTTATATATGCCTTATCCCATTTCATGCAGAATACTGAATTTTTAAAGCCCAGATAGAGATTGAATTTCTTTAGTTTTCATCATCTATTCCAGGGGTGGGCTCCTGGGGGTTCACAGGGGTTCGGGAGAACCTCTAGCTAAGATTCTGTGCAGTTTGGAGAACCCCCAAATCCCACTCCTGGCTGGCCCCGCCCACCCTATCCCACCCCTCCCAGGAGTCCCCACACAGCCCGTTTTGGATGCAGGTAAGTGCAGGGTGTGTGCAGAGGTCAAAAAATGAGCCTACCGGAAGTTTGGTAAGGCCAGAAACAGGCCTGTTTCCAGCCTCCAGAGGGCCTCCAGAGCCTGGGGAGGCTGTTTTCGTCCTCCCAGAGGCTCAAGGAAAGCTTCCAGAGCCCAGGGAAGGCAAAAATGCCCCTCCCCTCACTGTGGTGCAGGAGGCCAACTAGGCCACACCCACCATGGCCATGCCCACCCAGCAACCAGGCAGAGAACCCCTTGCTAAAAAATTTTAAGCCCACCCCTGATCTATTCTAACCCAAACCTAAGATGTTGGTATGTTATATGATCGTTCATTGGCATTTATCTTTTCCTCTCCCATCCAGATATTCAAATATATTAGCTTTAACAAAACAATGACCCAGTTGTCCTCCACTCTTGCTCGATGCGCCAAGGACATCCTGGGTTTTGCCATCATGTTCTTCATTGTCTTTTTTGCCTACGCGCAACTGGGCTATCTCCTTTTTGGAACCCAAGTGGAAAACTTCAGCACCTTTGTTAAATGCATGTGAGTATCTCCCATTTCATCCTTTTCTTTTTTATTTCTCCTTCATGGCAAGGATCTCAGTCAGATCAGGGATGAAATTCAGCAGGTTCTCACAGGTTCTGGAGAACCGGTAGCGGACATTTTGAGTAGTTCGCAGAACTACAGAGAACTACAGAGGTGGGCAAATAACACCTCTGGCTGGCCCCAGTGTGGAGTGGGAATGGAGATTTTGCAATATCCTTCCTGCAGGAGTGGGGAGAGAATGGGGATTTTGCAGTATCCTTCCCCTGCCACGCCCACCAAGCCACACCACATCACCAAGCCACGCCCACAGAACCGGTAGTAAAAAAATTTGAATTCCACCACTGAGTCAGATTTTTATTATCCAGAAGGCCTGCTTAACTCTAATCTGAACTGATTATTCCCTATGAGGAGCTAAGTTATCCTGGTCAGCTCTATTCTTTTTCTTTGAAATATGTTCTTTTCTTTTTTTGCTTTTTAACTTTAAACTGCCCAGAGTAGCTGGGCAGTCAAGTAGCACTGAAATTGAAATAATTAATACCTTAAGCCTTAGAGAGGTTTCATGTACCCATATTTTTCTTGAAACCCTCCAAAAACCCCAAACCCACAGATAATAAGAAATGTTTAAGCGACACCACAAAGCCTTCAGTCCTATTCCTCTGGCCCCAGACAGGACAAAAAGAACAAAAGAAAATGATTTCACACCCCTGACCAAAAATATCAGTAAAAGTTATAATAATGATCTGGTCATGTGAAATACATGATCCTTAAATTTCCTTAATGAGCTTGTCAGTTGAAAAGTCAGCAGTTCAGTGGTTCGAATCCCTAGTGCCATGTAACAGGGTGAGCTCCTGTTACTTGTCCCAGCTTCTGCCAACCTAGCTGTTCGAAAGCACGTAAAAAATGCAAGTAGAAAAATAGGGACCACCTTGGTGGGAAGGTAACAGCGTTCCGTGAGCCTTTGGCATTTAGTCATGCCGGCCACATGACTACGGAGACGTCTTTGGACACTGCTGGCTCTTCAGCTTTGAAACGGAGATGAGCACCACCCCCTAGAGTTGGGAACGACTAGCACATATGTACAAGGGGAACCTTTACCTTTACCTTTAATGTTTCCTGGCCTCAACCCCTTCTTCTTAAACTGATTCCCCAATGGATCCACAACCACTTCAGTTTAGACGTTGCAAGATTGGTAATATATACTGTATTCTATGAATCCAATTAGAAGTCTAGTTGCAGGATTTGTGCAAATAGAAGACCTGCTGATCCAGGTGAGTTTTCAAGTCTCTATTAGATGATTGAGAGGAATCTAATTCCCTTTCCCCATTTCCATTTTCTTACTTCTTCCTCCACTTTTGCCATGCCATCTGGTCTTTCGGAGGAGAATGTATCATGGAGCTGGCAGCCAGGATGCTTCAACTCATAGTTCACCTGTCCTTCCACTTCTTCCTACAAAAGGAGCTGTGAAAGGTGGCCAGTCCTTAATTTTAGAAGTGAAATATATTACAATTAAATAGATAGTGTTAGTGTCAACAGTTAGTCAGGAGTGGGATTCAGCCGATTTGGACCGGTTCAGGCAAACCGGATGTTAATTATAATCTGGTTTGCCAAACTGGTAGTTGCAAGGACTGGCTGACCCCGCCCACCCCTCCCAGGAGTATCCACGTGGCCCATTTTGGATGCCAGGTAAGTGCAGGGCCCACCCGGAAGCCTACTGGAAGTCCGGAATGGGCCTACTGGAAGTCCAGAAACGGGCTCGTTTCTGGCCTCCGAAGGGTCTCCAGAGCCTGTCGGGAGGCTGTTTTCACCCTCCTGGAGGCTCAAGGAAAGCCTCCGGAGTCTGGGGAGGGTGAAAACATACACACACCCACCCATAGTGCAGGAAGACTAGGCCATGTCCCCATGGCCACGCCCACCGAGCAACCAGGCACAGAACCGGTTGCTAAAATTTTTCAATCCCACCCCTGGTGTTAGTAATATCCATTCTAAGATCCCGTTTCCTGTCAGCCACATGATCCACTGGGGGTGGTGGGGATGTCATCGATAAAGTCTCAGGAAGAATTCTAGAGACACCACTTTCTGCATGTGTTTCCTTCAGTGTTTAATGGGTTCATAGTAATATATGGAGATCTAACTCAACAACTTAGTTCGGTATTTCAGAAAGAAGAGGGGCAAATATTTTTGCTTATCTAAATCCTTCCATCTCAGCAAGGCTCTTTTCCTGAAAATCATATTGCAAACTCATTCCTTTTTCCATTCTATAGCTTCACACAATTTCGCATCATACTTGGCGATTTTGACTATAACGCTATTGACAATGCCAACAGAATCTTGGGACCCATATATTTCGTCACTTACGTCTTCTTCGTCTTCTTTGTGCTATTGGTAAGTTGATTTTGTTTTAATGGACTTAAAGGAAGGTAGGTTTTGGATGAAGAGCAGGAAGATTTTGCTGTATCCTTCCCCTGCCACGCCCACCAACCCATGCCCACCAAGCCACATGACGCCCACCAAGCCACGCCCACAGAACCGGGAGTAAAAAAAATTGGATTTCACCACTGCCTTACTTCTGCACATAAAGCACCATTCAGAAGAGCGGATTTTTAATTTCAGAATAATCTGCATTGTATTTTTTTTCTTTTCTATAGAACATGTTTCTGGCTATCATAAATGACACCTACTCAGAAGTAAAAGAGGAACTTTCAAACCAGAAGAATGAACTGCAGCTATCAGACATCCTGAAACAGGTAGTTCATTCGTGTATATACCTTTATTTCGTCTATTATGAATGAAGTTGTTTTTGAATGAATGTTTGCTACGGAACACCTCCAGAAACACTTTGGGAATTTCCATTTCCATGGCAACAGTATGGTGCAACCCTTGAGTGGGGGGAAGTTTTCTAACCTGTAATAAAAGCTTCTCTGGTGTTTTGCCTGCACCCATAGTGAAAGCCAGTCATTCCAGAGGTGGTATTCAGCAGGTTCTGACCAGTTCTGGAGAACCGGTAGTGGAAATTTTGAGTAGTTCGGAGAACCGATAAATACTTCTGACTGGCCCCGCCCCCATCTAGTCTCTCCGGAGTCCCAGCTGATTGGGAGGAAATGGGGATTTTGCAGTAACCTTCTCCTGTCACGCCCACCAAGCCATGCCCACCAAGCCATGCCCACAGAACCAGTAGTAAAAAAATTTGAATCCCACCACTGAGTCATTCCAGTGGCCCATATCAATACAGAAGTGAATCACAGGCTGTCCACGACCACAATTGGAACTAGAATTTCCATTGCTAACTAAGCAAGTCGGCTGTTATGTGAGCTGTCCCTGATTTTACAACCATTTTGCCATGGTTGATAAATGAATCACTGCCATTATGTGAATCACAGTCATTGAGCGACTGCAGCTTCCCCCCACTGACTTTGCTTGCTGGAAGCCAGCTGACCAGGTCACAAATGATGATTACATTCATGGGAGGTTGCAAACATAGTAAATACGGGCCAGTATCCAACCAGCCGAATTCTGAAAAGGTGACCATGGGGATGCTGTGAGGTTATAGGTTTGATTGTATGTCACTTTTTTCAATGCCATTGTAACTTTGAATGGTTACTAGATGAAAAGTTGTAAGTAAAGAGTTACCTGTACTTTATACAAACATAGTTACAGTAGTGGCCAAAATTGTGGAAACCTTTTGGGAAAAGTGTATGTTTGAGGTTTGATGGCTAATAACGCCACTTTTTTTTTTCTTGGAGTTTCAAGATAATCCTATTCCACTGTTGGAATGGCCTGGGATTAGCCCAGACTTTATCCCAATTGAAAAACTATGGAGCCGACTAAAGAAACTTGTTAGTCAGAAGCGACCCAGCAATAAAACCCAGTTAATAGAACAACCATTCAATCTTGGTTTCACATTAGAACAGCTGCAGAACTAAAAGACTTGGTTCACTCCATGGGAAGACATTGTAAGGCCGTAATTCATGCTAAAGGTTACCCAACTAACTATTAACTGACATGGTGATAATTTTTGTATATCTCGTTTTTTTTCTATGTGTTTCACTTTTCTTCTTTATACTGTAACTGCTATTCTAATAGCAAATCCTTCATAAAAATTATTGCATTACATTCTTGATTAAATTATCTTTCCATTGATATATAATTTTATGGTACTACTCCCAAAAAAGGGGGGGGTGTTATTAGCTAATTTTAGAAAATACACTTTTCCCAAAAGGTTTCCACAATTTTGGCCACTACTATATATAAAAGTGACCATACTATCAGTTTCTTTCCAACAGTTGTGACTATGCCTAATTCAAGTAATTTCAGAAAAAGTGTAGGGGCAAGTGAAAGCCATAGAAAGGAACTTGTGAATTAAGTCCTCAGCTGGGCTTTCGGTCATTGTGCAGCCTGTCCCAGTAGTTGCTAATCTTGTGTCTTATGATGGCCACAGTATAAAACAATGAAGATAACTTTCTTTTGCATTATTTGTAACTCTAGGGCTATAACCGGACACTGATGAAGCTGAAGCTGAAAAAAGACCGAATCTCTGATGTGCAGAAAGCTTTGCAGAAAGGAACCAAAGAGCTGGAATATGAAGACTTTAAGAACAGTTTGAGAGAGTAAGCTGTCAGGGTTCCGACCGATGCCCTAATTAAATCATGAGTCTTAAGCCAAGCTTCCAAAGAAATCCAATTATTTATTAGGAGCTTCATGTTGCCAACTCTGACCTCACGTAATTTACGGCCCAGGCTTGACCCTGATCCCCCCTCCCCCCAGGGTGTGTCATCAGTTATATTCGCCAACAAAGCAATTTCACGGATTGTAGAGATCACTCCCCTCCAGCCACTGTGGGTAACCCCGGGAGACAGCCTTGACAGAGATATGTCTGGAACATACTTTTGTTTTTGGCTGCTGTGCTTCTTTGCCATAGCTGCAAGTTCGTTTTCCCATCCCCATTGCCTATGGCAACTTGAGAGCAGGCCAGGGATGCTTTGCAAGTTGACATTAGCATCTTTCCAATGAAATTCACAAATATCTCTCATTAGACCATCATACCAGTCAAGCAGTGTGCTTCCTTATCAACCTGGCTATTTATGCATTAAGTGTTACATTTTCAGATTTCGTGTTCACTCTTCTGTCTGTTCCCCATCCTTACCCCCAACTTCTTCAGGCTGGGTCATGCAGAACATGAAATAACAGCAGCCTTTGCAAAATTTGATAAAGATGGTAACCAGATCCTTGACGAAGAAGAGCAGAAGAGAATGCGGAATGATCTGGAGGAGAAGAAAGTAAGGGGAAAGATGATCTGTGATGGAATATAATGAGGAGGTGGATCACCAGGAGGGAGGGGGTTATTCCAGGGGAGTAAGAGGCAACTTGGCCAAGGTCAGGGGTGGGATTCAGCTGGTTTGGACCAGTTTGCACTAACCGGATGCTAATTTTACATCTGGTTCGCCAAACCGGTAGTTGCAAGGACTGGCTGGCAATGCCCACCCCACCCCTCCTCTCCCAGGAGTCTCCACGGGGCCCGTTTTGGATGCCAGTTAAGTGCAGCGCCCGCATGGAGGCTCTGGGAAGGTGAAAAACAGGTCTTCCAGAAGCTCAAGGAAAGCCTCCAGAGCCTGGGGAGGATGAAAATGCCCCCTGCCATGGTGTGGGAGGCTGAGTAGGACACGCCCACCATGGCCACGCCCACCCAGCAACTGGGCAGAGAACCGGTCGCTAAAATTTTTGAATTCCATCCGTGGCTCAGGTATCATGTGTAGGAGAAAAAAGGGTGAAGGCAGCCGCTCCCGAATAGTTCAAGGCTTTTCGCATTTAGTAAGAAAAGGGAAAAAGCTGAGTGTAATTCATTTTTAAGTTAATTAATACTTTCTGAAGCAATATGCAAACCAATATTCAATTATTCTTCACCTCTATTATAGCAATAGCACTTAGACCTATATACCCCTTCATGGTGCTTTTACAGCCCTCTCTAAGTGGTTTACAGAGTCAGCCTATTGCCCCCAACAATCTGGGTCCTCATTTTACTGACCTCGGAAGCATGGAAGGCTGAGTCAACCTTGAGCCAGTGAGATTTGACCTGCCAAACTGCAGCTAGCAGTCAGTGAAGTTGCCTGCAGTGCTGCACTCTAACCACTGCGCCACCTCGGCTCTTATACTATACTTTTCTCCCTGACAACAAAAATAGAAATATAGCAAACTATATAGAGAAAATGCATATATTAGTATTACATGTGAAAATGCATTTTACTCTGGAGTTTTTGATGCTCATATTAGGAATAATATGTATAATATGCATATTCTGATCAATATGGGTGAAATGCATATGGACTTGTGACAACTGTGGACAGTTCTATTGCACAATAAATAAATTATAGGATCTGGAGCAGTTATTGAGAAGACCCCACTACAGATAGGAGTTTCAGGATCAAGTACAAGGTTGCTATGGCACAAATTTGTTAACTGCACAGAGAATTAAAATGACCCTCGTAAGGTCAGTAATAAATCCAGTGGAAGAAAATACACAAATCCATGTCTGCAAGATTTTAAATTATTACAGTGAAATCTCATTAAGATTAAATAACTGATTAAATTTTGTTCCTCAGGTCGCTCTGAATGAAGAAATTGAAAATTTGGGAAAATCTTTCAAGGACAACACTTTAGACAATACTCTTGGTTTTGCAGAGGCGAAGAATAATCAAGCAAACAAAACCAGCCGAATTTCTGAGGAAGAATTCCAAATGTGTGTAGTATTTCATTTGATCTTACCAATAACCAAATACATATTAAAATATCCAGGTAAAATTCATGGACACTAAAGGAAATGTTAAAATTTACTAACAAACACACACAAATGTCTGCACATGAAAACCAACAAATCTGCTAATCTTGATTAACAAATATGAAACTTGTTTCATTGGCAGAGTGCAATTAAGCAAGGTGGTAGGTTTTAGCTTTCCAGCTGAATAAGTAAGTTGTTTATGAAGTGTTAGATGTGAGATTATGAGAGTACCAATTTTTCAAACCTTCAGTGTTCTAATCCTCCTAACCTACTGCCTACAAGAGGCAATGAATTATAAATAGCAATAGCAATAGCACTTAGACTTATATACCGCTTACAGTGTTTTATAGCCCTCTCTAAGCAGTTTTACAGAGTCAGCCTATTGCCCCCAGTAATTTGGGTCCTCATTTTACTGACCTCAGAAGGATGGAAGGTTGAGTCAACCTTGAGCCTGGTGGGATTTGAACTGCCAAATTGCAGGCAGCCAGCAAGTTTACAGTACTGTCTTCTCTTTTATTCTCCCTGCTCTTTGTTCAGGAAACTTCTAACTTCAGGATCTTCCATGCCTTTGTTCAAGGCACATAAGGACATAGCTCATCCTCCCTGATTCAATGTATTGCTTTGTATTCCCTGAAATGGAGCTTTTTCTCTTTTTTTATTTAAAACCAGCTGGTAACCTGGCGTTGCCCGGTTATAGACGTCAAAGCCTTTGTCTGACAGGGAGCTATTGAGAGGGGCTTTCTTCCTCCTACTCCCATGCTCATCATCCCTGCCTTCTCTCTTCCCCCTCCCATGCGCTCCGCTTTCCCGCCCTGTCTACAATCCTGGCACTTTGTCCCAAACCATCAGGCACTTCCCCATTGCTCCACTAGAGGGAGAATGTCACGGCTGTCTTTCCAGAGAAAGCTGTGAAAGAACTGACATTACAAACAATTGCTGCTCTAGGATGCCACACTCACTCTCCTTAATGGCCCAGGCTCTCCCTTCCCCCTCCCATGACATCACAAACAATTGCCACTCTAGGACGCCGCCACACTCGCTCTCCTTAACGGCTCAGGCATTCCACACATGATGTATGATGGAACACACACACACTGACACACACACATCAGGGGTGTCTTACCCCCACAGTATTTGTTTCCAGATAGTAAGTCATCTGTGTACCAAGTTTGGTTGAAATTGCTCGAGGCGTTCCAGAGTTATGCTGGAACATACATACATACAGCCTTTTTTTATATAGATAAGATTGTAAACCACTTCCATTAATTCATGCTGAAATTATATCCCTACTGTCAGGAACTCTTGTGACCAGGAGAAACACTTCATATGCTAATAGATGCTGTGCATGCATCAGAACTAGATGAAACTGTACTTGCAGGGAATGGCCTTGACTGTTGCTATGTTCCATTCTAGATACTATTTTAAAAGTGGATTTTCAAAGCCTCCCTCGCTCTCTCTCTCCCCCTCAACAGACTCCTGCGGCGAGTGCTAAAGTTGGAGACTTCTGTTGGTGGCATCATATCCAAGACAGAAGCCTTGGTAGTTAAATTGGAAGACCTTGAAAGGAGCAAAATGAAGAAAAAAGACTGGGTACCTGAGGTATGTCAGCAGACTCTCAGGAATGGCTTGGAGGTGGTCTATATAAGCAGGAGTGTCCAACTTTGGCAACTTTAAGACTTGTGGACTTCAATTCCCAGAATTTCCCAGCCAACATGGGGAATTCCTCAGGCAATTCTGGAAGTCCAAAAGTGTTAAAGTTGCCAAGGCTGGACACCCCTGGCCTATAGCATGATAGGGAGTTATTTCTTCCCCAGTAATTTAGAGAAATGTTTCTCAATTGTGGCCACTTCAAGATGGGTGGATTTCTGCTTCCAAAATTCCCCATGTCAGCTAGGGAATTTGAAGAGTTGTCTACATAACTTTAAGTGGCCAAGGTTGAGAAACACTGTTTACAGCACCTTATGGAGGCAACATAAAACCGACTCCCATCACTATTAAATCAGCACTTTGGTTGGATGATGTTAGGAATGCTCTAAATATGACATTTATACTTAGAAAAAAATAAATGACATGAAATGAAATCTGAAAGAAGTTCATAAGGATAACGTTTTGTTGCATATAACTGTGCTTTACCAAACAAATTCAAGAGCTTAAACCAAGGAAAACAAAAACCACGTTCTAAAAATATCTACAATCAAACAATATATGTAAATTTATTTTAAAAAGACAATTCAATTTCCATATTTGTCACATGAATGTGAAAGATGTGCATTAAGCGGTACTATTTGTATAGTAAAAATTAAATGACTAAAATGGTGAATGGGATAATTAAAAAACAAAATGGGACTCCACTCAACCAGACCCAGGGGTGAAATGCTCCAGGTTTGGACCGGTTCGACGGTTCAGAGAACTGGTAGCAATGGTGGCGTGAGAGTCCGCCCACCCACCTTCCTGGTTTTAACCAGGAAGTAATGTGTTTTTTACCCTCTGCGCATGCACAGAGGGTCCGTGCGCGCAGTGCATACACTTCCGAACCGGTAAGGAAGGTAAGTAGATTTCACCCCTGCCCAGATCCAAATGTCTAGGGAAAAGTCTGCAAGAAATAGATACCTTTCTATATTTTCATGACATTCCTTTGTATGAATTCACTGGATGTAACCGGATCTCACATCTACAATTCCCAGACCAATAAAGGAATCTGTACTGAATTTGGGTATCAGAAATTATTTAGCATTTTTCTTTTGACATTTGTTGGCACTCAGTTCATTTATGCCATTTACTTTCCCCCTGAAATTCCAAGACACTACACTCAATATACCCCAAAAGCTGACAGAGCAATGCAAATAGCCGATTGCCGCCCTAGATAAAAGAAAATTCCTTGCTTTTGGAACAATCACTTAGTCCAGGGGTGAAATCCAGCAGTGACAGGTTCTGGAGAACCGGTAGCGGAAATTTTGAGTAGTTCGGAGAATCGGCAAATACCACCTTTGGCTGGTCCCAGAGTGGAGTGGGAATGGAGATTTTGCAATATCCTTCCCCCAGGAGTGGGGCTGAAATGGGGATTTTGCAGTATCCTTCCCCAGGAGCGGGGTGGGAATGGAGATTTTGCAGTATCCTTCCCCTGGAGTGGGGTGGGAATGGAAATTTTGCTGTATCCTTCCCCTGCCACACCCACCAAGCCATGCCCACCATGCCATACCATGCCCACCAAGCCACGCCCACAGAACCGGTAGTAAAAAAAAATTGAATTTCACCACTGGCTTAGTCTATCCTTCATCACAGTGTCTTTTCCCTCCCCTTACTTGCAGGGAGACCAGGTGATTCAAGAAAATCTGGCTCTACAGACTGCCGAACGTGTTGTTGCAGAAGAAAGTGGATTGGAAGCAGCCCACGTGCAGGAGAATTATATCAGTGTGAACTCTCTGAATAGGAGTCAGGGGGTCTACCCCCTTCTGTCCAGATTAGACCTATTAAACTCTCAAACTCCCAAGACCATCCAGTTCAAATCTAACAGGAACTTCTAGCTTATTCCTAAATACATGCAGCATTAATTACCCTTGCTTTTTCACTATATTTAGACCAGTAAAGTATTTAATCATGTTTTCATCCAGCCTCTAGAAATATCTTTGCTCCTTTTTTTACAAAAAGGAACTTTTGGGGTAGGGACCCCATTCATGTCAGAACTGAGTGGGTGACTCAGTTTTAACCTCTTTCTAAACTCTAACTAGTCTTATTGTTGGGTGATTAATACAGAAGGGACAAAGCAGAAGGATCTTGGCATATTTATCTACAGTATTTGGCCCAGCAGTGAAATCCGGCCAGACCTATCTGGCTCGCGCGAGGTGGTAGGGCCGGCGGCAGGAGGCTCCGCCCACCCGCTGGGACGTCATTGTGTCCTGTTTTTGACCCTCTGCACATGCAGAGAAGGCTCTGCGCATGCGCAGAAGAGGCGTGTGTGAGTGCAGCGAGCGGGCGCGCACGCTCACATTTCCAATCCGGTAGTGAAGATAAGTGCATTTCACCGCTGATTTGGCCATATACGAACAAATGAAATTAAAAAGGAAACATTTTCTCTGTTTTAAAATTTGTATTCCATTGATTTTAAATCACCAATTGGACTCAAATTTTGCATTAGGTTTTAAAGGTTTCATAGTAATCCCTGTATTTGGCATTGTCAGAATTTGCAGGAATTTTTCTGCACAGGTTTCACTTCTTGTAGGAAAACCCAGTCCATATTAGAAATTGTAATTAGCTGGTATATTATTGTTACACCAATAGTGCTAGGATTCAAATATTCAAGTGACAATTCTGAAACCTGGCTAAAGATCTGCATGATGATTAGCAAATTTAAATGGTCCAATTTATACATAAGAAAGTAATATATTATACATATTATTATTATATTATTATAGTATAATATATATGTGTACTATATATTATTTGCTGATAATATAGTCAGTAGATTTTGACCATGGTAAAATGTCAACATTCCTGCAGTATAATAAATATAAGGATGGGTATGTATCATAGACACTAAAAATTAAAAAAAAGTCAGTCAGTAGGTAAGGATAATATGCACAACCATTAACAAAACATGTTGCCTTCTGTGGCTGAAGATTCCTGGCAGTTATTCAGATGACAAAGTACATGCAGCTATTATTTTCACACGGTGTACACAAGGATTGCAATCCACTGCCTTAGATGCATTCTTGATTATTAAATCACTTCTCCGTGTCTAGTTATCTTATAAATGTCCTGAAATAGAAGTGCAAGTATTTTTTAATGTCCAGGCAATGCATCAATCCATTATATGCTAGGCATTGTTAATCTTTAACCTGCCGTCTTTGGCAGATTTCAGAAGCAAAGCAAGGCTAGACCAGGGGTATCAAACCCAAGGCCCGTGGGCCACATCCGGCCCGCAGGGTGCTTAGATCTGGCCCACCGGCCCACCCTGGAAACAGCAGACTGGCCCGTGGTGTCTCTGCCAGTGAAAACAGAGCTTGAGAGGGCTACACGTGGCTCTCCCGTGTTCCATTTTCGGCCGTGACAGCCTCCTGCAGCTGTCAGCCAGTGAAAACAGAGCTTGGGAGGGCCACACGTGGCCAAAAATGGAGCCTCAATGAATGATGTCAAGCTGGCCATGCCCCCCCCCCCGAGGTCAAACACAACCCTGATGCAGTCCTGAACGAAATTGAGTTTGACACCCCTGGGCTAAGTTAGTGCTTGGTTAACCTGGAATTCTAGAATGTGGGCTAGACTAGGCAACTGAAAGAGCACCCAAGAAAAAGCACTTCCATGCATTGTATAGATTTGCTATTTGTCCTGACCTAGTGAAGCCCCATTTAGTCCTGCTTGGATAGATCCTTTGTCATTTATGTAAACTGATATGACAAACCCTACGGCATTTAGTAAAGGAACTAGATTCAATAATGCCACATTATTCCATCTCTGCTATACCGTAGTAGTTCTTGTTGACCAAGATAGTCTCCTCAAGCCAGCGAAGCAGTAATTCTGAAGAACCTTTTCCTGTGTGACTATTGTTGGTTGGTACAATCGTCTGCGTTTTCGTTGTGACTTCTTGTATTAGTGCAGCAATATTGTGCTTCTACTGATAATGTATCATGTACCTTGAAAAAATGGAAACATTTTTCAGGGAAGAACATTGTTTTGTACTTTTTCTCTTCACACAAGGGAAGAAAACTCAAAAGATTAGGGAGCCTGTGGGTGTTACTAAAGGTCACGATCTTGGCGGGAGGATGAATGCACTAGTTTTGCAGACAACTCATCCATCACTTCCATTTTCTTGTGTGAGAACTTTTCTTGTTCAGACAATGAGGGAGATAGCTACTACAGAATAGGTTTACTGTACATACTGTACTTTCTGCTTTATTAAATAAATAAGGTAACAATGATGCCAATCTAACAAATGTCAGTCATCTTTCAGTATTATAGAAGTGTTAGCAAGCTACATGATCTGAATGAACAATTGGCAATGTGGTATCCTTGTGAAGTATGCATGAATTCCTGATTGTTTGACAAATTGGAAATACAGTACTTCAGCCGGTTCTATCCGGTTCGGGCAAACAGGTAGCGGCGGCTGCGGGAAGCTCTGTCCACCCACCCGGATGTCATCATGTCCAATTTTTGACCCTCTGGACATGCATGGACGGCTCTGTGCATGCGCGGAGGTGGCGCGTGTGAGCAATGTGCGCGCTCACATTTGCGAACTGATAGCGAAGGTAAGTGAATCCCACCCCTGATACAACCGATATATACTTGACAGGAGTTGTACAGTCGTGTTGACAATTTTATATATTTTGGCCAAAATATGGCCATAGTAAAAGGCCAGACTATGTAAATTAATGTTTTTAGTTCCTGATTTGAATAATCTGCAGCAAAGTGAAAAAAGCAAATACTGTTAAGTTTTTATCAACGCTCTTGAGGTATCCACAATCTTGCAAAACATTTTATTATAAGTTTTGGATGGCAGTTTCTGAAAACAAATTATATTTTCAAAGATGTGCGAAATAGTGCTGATGATTATCTTTAATTACTCTGCCATCCATTGGGACAAAGATTCTGCGAAGCATCATCTTCCCCAGGAAAATCTAAAGTTATCTTCCTACCTAACGATTTTCTCCTTCAGATGTAAGAGGAGACAAGAAATCAATTACTGTGGATGCTAAAGATTACAAAAAAGGCAGTTCATAGAAGAAAATGTAATAAAATCTTTGGAGGAGTTACTGATCTTAAGGGAAGTTGTATAGACAAACACTTGGTTGCATTTTAATAAATTCAGTGTAATATAGGTAAGATTCCAAGACTAGAAGCTAATGGGAAAAGGAACTGAAGATATATGGGATGAAATGTCTGAGAATAAACAGAAACAGTTCCAACAAGGGAAAACAAATGGACATCCCCTTCTTCTTCTATAGAATAAATTCTTGATCCCTTATTGAGGCACTTCTAAGTCATATCAGATAAATCTATCAGCTTCAGTGGAGCATCTCTTACAAGCTTATCCAGATAGCCTTTGAAAGGTGCTTTCCTTCACTCTATAAGGCAACACAAAAGTAGAGCAAAATAGATATTGGGATAGATATCAATTGTTGGGACAGAGCAAATTACGCTGACACACAAAAGTATGTCAGCATAATTTGTTTTGTCCCAACAGTTGATATATAACCTGCCTCGTAAGAAGGCCAGCGAGTACAATAATGATATTTTTTAGTTTTAATGCCGAACAGCTAACAGTCATAATCAGTGGCTATGTTTTCATTCCATCCAAATGTTCCAAGTAAAATAAAAAACATCAAATAAATGTTCTTAACAGGGTTGGGCATTTAAAGGTGGGAAACAGGGTTTATAGGTAAAGGTAAAGGTTCCCCTCGCGCATATGTGCTAGTCGTTCCCGACTCTAAGGGGCGGTACTCATCTCCGTTTCAAAGCCAATGAGCCAGTGCTGTCCAAAGAAGTCTCTGATCATGTGGCCGGCATGACTAAACACCAAAGGCACAAGGAATGCTGTTACCTTCCCACCAAAGGTGGTCCCTATTTTTCTACTTGCATTTTTTACATGCTTTTGAACTGCTAGGTTGGCAGAAGTTGGGACAAGTAACGGGAGCTCACCCCGTTATGTGGCACTAGGGATTCGAACTGCTCAACTGCCAACCTTTCGATCAACAAGCTCAGCATCTTAGCCACTGAGCCACCATGTCCCCTTTTGGGGCTTATGAGCATCTACTATATCAAAATTACTAGTACTCCTGCAACTTTATCACCAGTTTCTGCCAAAGCTTAAAAATCATGTGCAGAAAAAAGCTTGTAACAAGATTAAACAAAAAAAACCACTTTAACATCCAATCAAATAAATTTCAAAGTGAGGGGGCATAAACTGTGGGTTGAGGGATGGAAGAAAGGCAACATTATGAGGATATGTCCTAGAATCAACGCATCTTAACTCTAGATTCTTAATGTATTAGGTGGCCCAGATCACTGTTTAATAAATAATCTATATAAATAAAAATGTAAATGTCCATTTGTACATAACCGCACAACTCCAAAAGTTCTTTACCGATTGCTTTCAAATTTTGACACGTTGCATTCGAGTACGGGCGTGTTTTTATATACCTATATTATATACATGTCACACCTGTGACGGGTAAAAACATTGGAAAACATTGAAAGACATTGACAAACATTGAAAAACAGCACCATCTGCTGGACGTAAAACTAACATGGCAGCCTCCCAGCCCTGATTACGCTCAACAGATTTCTGTTCCTTATATTTAGACTCTCCATATTGCTTCCAAGAAACAGCGCATTTAGAAGGCAGAGACGCCCAAGGGCAATATCCTGCCACCAGGCTCGGCAGGTAGGCAGCCGTCTCCCCGCCAGGAAGTCCTCGCAGCCGGCGCTTCTAGGGCTGGGCGGGGCCCGCCCGAGCCTGGCTCTGACCTCCCCCTCCCGCCCTGTGAACTAGCCTCGCCCGCCGCTGCTGCCCATCCCCCTCGCCAGCCACTCTTGGGGCTCCCTCCAAAAAACACCTGGCAACGAGGCTGCCTGGGTCCGTCGAGCGGGAACCCTCCGTCCCTCGTCTGGCCCAAATCGCACCTGGCCCAGCGCTACCACGGGCCCCGAGGTCAGAAAGACCAGCCACTAACCGGCACTATGCGAATCCGGTCGGTGAGCGGGAGATGGAGGCAACTGTAGCCTCGGGGTTGCCTTTGACCAACGCCGCCTTTGATTCCCAGGTGGGCGCTCTGGCAGTTCACAGAGCCTACATGAAAATTTCGGCCTCTGGCAGAAAAGGGGCTCCGGGGAGGCTTCGGGGGCAGAAACGGGCAGGAGGGAGGATGGCCGGCCCTCCTTCGTTTTGCCTGGAAGAGCGGGGGATTTAATCATTCCCCTGCCCTTGGCAGGCGGGGGAGAACTGCGCAGCAGGGGTCCAGTGGGGGGGGTGTGGCTCCTGGCTTTGCCGCTTTCTTCCTTCAGGCGGGAAGCCCCAAACCAGCCTCGAACCCCCGCCGCACCCCCTCCCTCCCTTCCCTTCCTTCCTATGCGTCTCCCTGTCGAGCCCCCAGAGAACATCTGTGTAGGGAGGACGGAGGGGGCCCCTGAGTTTCTGCTGTGATGCGGAGAGCTGCGAAGGCCTGGTCTGAAAAGGGGATGCAGAAGAGGCCGGGCTAGAGACAGAGATAAACAGAGAGAGAGAGACATAGAGAAATACAGAGAGACGGGGGGGGGGAGAGAGACACATATAGAGATACAGAGAGAGAGGGGGAGAAAGAGAGGGAGGATTTTGTGGTTCCCATTGTTTTTTACAACTGGTTCTCTGCCCTAATCACCAGCTGGATAGGCGTGGCTCGGGGGCTGTCATGTGACTGATGAAAGTGAGTGACGTTGAGTTGGCCACGCCCACCAAATGTTCGTGGAGAGTTTGGAACTTCAGCCTCACTCTTTTAGCCCAGCGGAAGCACCAGACTGGGCCACAGCAACACGTGGCCGGGTACAGCTAGTAGATAAATAAATCTTCAAGCTGATTAAGAAGACATGGGAACAACTCTTTGGATGTTTTGACTTTACCTACACTAAGCAATTACATTGGAAGAAATAGTCAAGACAAATAAAACTTCTGAGTACAGAAGGAAGTTCTATTTAAATTGGGAAGAATTAAAATAAAGGCTATTATTGATTAATTAAACACAATTTTGAATTTGGATCCAAAATACATTTACATTTTTAATTATGGTTGGCTGGTACAGAAATAAGTACATGGAGAATTTGTTATGGAGAATTGGGTGTAGGCCAAAAAAAATTATTGTTACACCTACTATTACACAATTAAGGTTTTAATCTATTTAAAATGTGTTTCTTCATCTCAAAATATCAAAATGGTAGGCTTTACTAATTGAAATGACAACAATTCTTGTATGTTTAAAATTGCAAGTTTCATTACACTAGCTTCCATAAGAGCTCTTTAACTTTTAGAGAGGAGAAAATGGGTTTCCAGTTTAAAAAAAAAACCATCCCTTGATTCCGTTTTTAAAGCACAATCAGCACTTGTCTTCATTTAGAGGACTCTCCAATTTTTTTTTAACATTCTCTTATATAAGGGAAACTGCCATAAAAATAATTATAAATACCTGTATTAAAAACCCAGATCAAGAAAAAGTCACAATTTTTACCCCAATGAAGCTTCTATAGACAAAGCTTGCCTATCAATGCTTATTCTAAGCTTTGCTTTCTGCTTTGTCTGCACAACCCTACAGAAGAATGCTGGTGCCCAGGGTTGCAGTAGAGGATGGAGTAGCAGTCAATAGACTGGAGCCTTGGTGACATGGAAGGGCTGGAACTGAGGTCTCTTTGGTGTAGAAACCAAGGATTGGGCCTAAAGAAGAGCTTGGCGAGTCTGGAAGTTTGCAAGAACACTGGATTTCTGTAAGACAAGAAAAACTGAATTATCATTTTTAAAAAATAGCTTACTAGGTTGTCAGACACTTCTATCACAAATTGTAATGACACCAAAATTATAACCCTCATGCAATGTCATTGTACCCATCTCACTTTTATGGAGTTGTATGGTACATTAGCACAACATTTGCATGGCAATGCTGTTATATTCATTTCATCATTTCCCTCTTGCCTTCAATTGCAATTGATAGGTAAATCCTCAGAGAAATTGCTCAGCCACTTTCCTGAAAAGCCAACAACAAGGCCTCTGAGAAATACTTGAGATAAAGTAAAAGTTAGAACACTGAGCTAAAAACAGGGAAACCTGGGTTCGAATTACCGGTAACGTTAATGCAGTGGTGAAATCCAATTTTTTTTACTACTGGTTCTGTGGGTGTGGCTTGGTGAGCATGGCAGGGGAAGGATACTGCAAAATCCCCATTCCCTCCCCACTCCTGGGGGAAGGATATTGCAAAATCTCCATTCTCACCCCACTCTGAGGCCAGCCAGAGGTGGTATTTGCTGCTTCTCCCAACTACTCAAAATTTCCACTACCAGTTGTCCAGAACCTGATGGATTTCATCCCTGCGTTAATGTAATGAATATTGTTGTAAATCTTGATTATCATTCTACAAAGATATTTGTACCTGGATGACACACTGTTTAATTGAAGATGGAATTATTATATTAATTTTTTTTTAAAAAAATTAAAAATCCAGTAACAACTAGAACCTAGAACTAGAACAGGGCCTGGTGGCTCAGCAGACTGATAGCATTGTGATTAACACCAGCTGTCTGCAATTACTGTAAGTGCCAATCTCACCAGGCTCAAGGTTGACTCAGCCTTCCATCCTTTCTAAGGTAGGTAAATTGAGGGCCCAGTTTGTGGGGGCAATAAGCTGACTTTGTATAAATATACAAAAGTATGAAGGCTATTGCTTAATGCATTGTAAGCCACCCTGAGTCTCCGGAGAAGGGCGGCATATAAATCAAATTAAAAAAAAAAAAAAAACATGTTTCTCAACTCCCAGAATTCTCCAAGCAGCATGTTGGGATCAAGGAATTCTGGGAGTTGGGAGCACACATCTTAAAAGGGACCAAGAGCTTGAAAAAACACAGAATTAAGAATAGGGTCCAACATATACTCCCAAATAAGCAAGAGATGACAGATAGAGCAATACTGTCTAGTTCTGGCCAATTATATCCAGCTCTCCACTGAACTGCAGCTGTGAGGGAGACTTTTCTCCTTGGGTTCCAAGGCAATTCTCCTCCTTCAGGGTTATCAACCCCGCACCTTCTCCGTCCCTCTGTGGGGAGAAGGGAGGCCGAAGGCGGCTTCGGGGCCGGGATTCCGCCTTGGAGATGCTTGCTTTTTTCCTTGCTTTCCAAAGCGGCCCGATGCGTCCGGCCTTTGCCAGAGCGCGCCTTTCCTTTCAGCGGCCAGGGAGGCATTTTTCCCACTGCGCCGCAGGGACTCCCGCGGAGGCGCCGGGCGAGCAAGTCCCGACGGTTGCGCCCCGGAAGAAGCGTCCGAGGGACCTGCCCCTCGGCTCGGGCGGGCGCAAGTCAGCGGAAAGCTCCGGGCCGAGAGAGCGAGTGAGAGAGAGAGAAAGCGCAGCCTCCGAGAAGGCGAAGGCGAGGGGCGCGCAAAAGCGCAATGCCGGGCGCCTGAGCTAGCCAAGAGCGCGCAGTAGCGGGGAGACGTCAGGGCAGGCGCGCTCGGGAGCCGCTCCTTAACTCTCCGTTCCCGGGAAGGCCGCCATGGCCGCGGCCGCCTCCGCCTCGCTGGAAGACAGCCTGGAGGCCCGCCACCCAGCCTCCAAACGTAAGCGCCTTCCCGGACGGCCCTCTTCGGCGCGCCGCGGAGAGCTCTTCCGCAGCCGGCCTCTTGCGGAGCAGCCCGAGCCTCCACACCCCTCCTCTTTCCACCCAAGCCAGGAATGGGAGGCGTCTCTTTTTTTTCCCCCTCCGCAGGAAACGCCGGCTAGGCCCCAGCAAAGGCCAACACCCACCCACCCCCAATTTCTCTCCAGCCTTTCTTTCCCCAGGTTTCTCTAACAACTGCGGGAACCCTGCCCGGCGGGCGCTTGCTTTTGTCTGTGTTGGGGCCAGTTCGCGCGTGGGAAACTGCTTCCATCTATTTTTATTTCCGTCTTTGATTTATTTTATTTATATCACGTATAAACATTCAGTTTCCATCAAACAGTCTGTGCTACAGTTGTTTTTGAGCGGTCAGCATAATCCACATGTTTGCTGTAGTATTCATCACGGTAATATTGATAATATAATAATATTGTAATGATAATAGTTTAACATTATCGTCTTTAACAACTCTCCACTTTAACATTTCCTCTTTTTATGGCTCCTCCTTTCTAACTTCTGTAGTAAGGATGTTAGTCTATCCGTTTCTGTGCATTCTAGTATTTTCTTAATTACATTCTCATTTGATGGAATCTCATCATTTTTCCATTGCTGTGCAAATACAATTCTGGCTTGCAGTTAATATATGTAAAACCAGATATATAGTCCTTCTATCATATTTTTTCTGGTAGGAAGCCCAACAAGAATGTCTCTGCTTCCATCTGGTGGCTACTTTTAGGCTGGTTGCATAAACCCTTCCTGGGCATCCTCCACTATCTCCACCAGGATACTCAGCTAAGGAGCTAGAAAACTTGGTGCTCTCAAAGCTGTTGGAGCCACCAGCTTTCCCATCCATTGGTACAGACTCCAAAGGATAGTTAGAACTTCAGGAAAAACCATTGCAAACAGCCTGCCTACATAGAAGTCCTGTATATTGTGTGGGTCAGAAGGAGGGCTGAGAAAATATCTACAGACTCCTCACATCCAGGACATAATCTGTTTCAACCCCTCCCCTCAGGAAGCCATTATTTATTATTTATTTTTTTATTTATTTGTCAAACATGTACAAGATAGCAAGTATAAGTATAAACATGAATATGAACATAGGAAATGGATACAAATAAATGGGGACAGTAGGACAGGGATGGTAGGCACGCTGGTGCTCTCATGTACGCCCCTTACAGACCTCTTAGGAATGGGGTGAGGTCAACAGTAGACAGTCTAAGGTTAAAGTTATGAGGGTTTGGGGATGCAACAACAGTCAGGTAGTTCATTCCAGGCATTGACCATTCTGTTGCTGAAGTCGTGTTTTCTGCAATCAAGTTTGAAGTGATTTACCTTGAGTTTGTATCTATTGTGTGCTCGTGTATTATTGCGGTTGAAGCTGAAGTAGTCGTTGACAGGTAGGACGTTGTAGCAGATAATTTTGTGTACTATGCTTAGGTCAGACCAAAGGCAGCGTAGTTCTAAGTTGGCATTACAATACATGCCAAAACATCTAAACACGGACAGTTTTATCTTGTGCTATCACTCTGCTGAACACCTAATCCTCACAGTATTGTTTTATGTCTAAGCATATTTACCCATATGGTATGGCTTAGTATTATTATTCCTTTTCATCTCTACTACCCGCTCTTATTTGTATTAGGATTATTATTCTGTTGCTTTTCAGCTGGTTCAGGGATGGGTAAGGAGTACTTCATCTAACATTCATAGCAATTTAGAATAGAATAGAATTCTTTATTGGCCAAGTGTGATTGGACACACAAGGAATTTGTCTTGGTGCATACGCTCTTAGTGTACATAAAAGATATATTCATCAAGAATCATAAGGTACAACACTTAATGATAGTCATAGGGAAACAGTCAATATAAATCTTAAGGATACCAGCAACAAGATTACAATCATACAGTCATAAGCGGGAGGAGATGGGTGATAGGAACGATGAGAAGATTAATAGTAATGCAGACTTAGTGAATAGTTTGACAGTGTTGAGGGAATTATTTGTTTAGCAGAGTGATGGCGTTCGGGAAAAAACTGTTCTTGTGTCTAGTTGTTCTGGTGTGCAGTGCTCTGTAGCATTGTTTTGAGGGTAGGAGTTGAAACAGTTTATGTCCAGGATGCGAGGGGTCTGTAAATATTTTCACAGCCCTCTTTTGACTCATGCAGTGTACAGGTCCTCAACAGAAGGCAGGTTGGTAGCAATTGTTTTTTCTTTTAGTAAAGAAATTCAGTAAAGCAAGTAGCTCATGAGCTAAGATTCCAAGGATGTCTTCAAAGGTTTTTTTTTTTTTTCATTTTATGGAGATCTTTCTCCAATATCTTTCTCCCTAACCCTAACCAGAGGAAATGGCAGGGAACAGCTGCGTATGCGTTTAAATATTGGGGGGGGGGGTATTTTAGCACATGTGCTCAAAAGCCCAATTGGGCTTATTATCAGGGGATGTTTTATTTTAGGAGAAACAGGGTAATATACAATAAAACAATCAAATTGTTTAATTAACCATTAAACAGTTAAGATTAAATATAAATAAGATCCCAGGGGAATGCACCAAAATCTCGTACAAATACAATCACTTAACGGGGTCCCCATTATCATGAGATCCCCAAGCCTGCTGAAATAAACCATGTCTTAAAAGAGATTTTGAAAAGGACAAAAAGGTTGCAACTAACCTTGGGGGGAATGATCCCAAAAGGCAGGAGTTTCATCACATAAAATAGAAGGTCTTTAGCCAACATTGCCTCTCCTGCTGGACCTTTGAAAAAAATTGTCAATAAATTGAATCAGATTATGCTCCCAGTAAAAATGCCCCAGCTCGTGAGACAAGATGGTATGTTGATACAAGGCATGTTTGACCATAATTAGATGCAAATGGATAGAGGCTCGGAGTCATTTACATTGTTTATCTCTTAAGTGAAGTTTATTTATTTAGTGTATGGTTCTTCAGGAAGTGAATTACGGTTTTTATATCTGTTTACCCCAATATTTATTCGTTAGATTGTTCTCAGCTTAGCCTTATATGGGCCTTTGAGATTTCATACTTCCAATTATTTCAGTGGTGAAATCCAAATTTTTTTACTACCAGTTCTGTGGGTGTGGCTTGATGGGCGTGGTGTGGCTTGGTGGGTTTGGTGTGGCTTGGTGGGCGTGGCAGGAGAAGGATACTGCAAAATCCCCATTCCCACCCCACTCCAGGGGAAGGATACTGCAAAATCCCCACTCCTGGGGAAAGGATACTGCAAAATCCCCATTCCCGCCCCACTCATGGGGGAAGGATATTCGGCAAAAACACCCCAGCATGAACAATTAGTTCACTTAACAATCAAGCTTCACTTTACGACTGCTGAAAAAAAGGTCATAAATTGGATTAGCCATGTAAAACCCGCTTTACAACTGTCATGACTTATGATTGTAGTGGGCAGGCTCCATTATGGTTGTAATTTGAGTAAATAAATAAGGGAGCTGTTAATTTGCTGAATCAGGATTGCTGAAAGGATGAGAAATTCTCCCCAATGATTGGGGGAAGGGGAAAGAGTTGTTGAGTGCAAGCTTGCCTTATCCTCTACAGCAGACCCAGAAGGTTCCATAACGGCCCAAACACTACCCATCTCACAAAATGGCCCAAGGATATTGGAGGGAATTAGGTAAAGGTAAAGGTTCCCCTCGCACATACGTGCTAGTCGTTTCGACTCTAAGGGGCGGGGCTCATTTCCGTTTCAGCTGTCTAAAGATGTCTCCATGGTCATGTGGCCAGCATGACTAAACACCAAAGATGCATGGAATGCTGTTACCTTCCCACCAAAGGTGGTCCCTATTTTTTTACTTGCATTTTTTATGTGCTTTCGAACTGCTAGGTTGGCAGAAGCTGGAACAAGTAACGGGAGCTCACCTCATTATGCAGCACTAGGAATTCAAACCATTGAACTGCCAACCTTTTCGATTGACAAGCTCAGCGTCTTAGCCACTGAGCCACTGCGTCCGTTTTTGGAGGGAATTAATAGAAGAGAATTCCATGAGATGATAAACTCAATTTTATAGCTCTAAGTAGAGACTGGATTAGAATCTCCTGCACTGAGCAGTAATTTCACCATGTTCTTCATTTATTATACCGCCTTTATTATTTTTATAAATAACTCAAGGCGGAGAACATTCTGCTTCCTGCTTCATCCTATTTTCCACATAATGTTTTGATTTATATTTCTGTTTTTTAATATTATAGAATTTACTTGAAATAATAGTAATGCAATTATGAGAAATGTTTTAAAAGGCTCTTAGGGGCTAAAAAAAACATTTCGTTCTGCAAGATTTTGCTTCATAGTGTTGTAGCTGTTTTTGTCAACTTGTTCTGGTAGTCTTCATTTGTGTTGGGGAAAAAAAGGCTTATAAATAAAAACATTGACAATGGGATGCTTCCTTCAAGAGCTTCGCTAGTGTCTTTTCTGCACCCAGTGAAATTTAGTCCTGCACATTTTCTAATTTTAGATCTACAATTTATTTTGTCTGTTGCGGCATCCTTACTCTCGTGCTCTGATTTTTGCCAGTAAAATGTTTTGTAGTATTTTAATCAGGGTGGATTTGATTTAAATCAAGTCAATTTAAATCACTAGGAAAAAGGCTTGATTTAAATCGACTCGATTTAAATCATAATTTTTAAAGAGCAGCTGTCATGTCTGTCCTGCAGCTCCTCCTCTGACCTGCTGTTGACTCACCGACAGTCCCACTTACTTTAATGGGATGGCTCGTGATACAGCAGTGACACAAGGTGTGGGACGTGGCGGGCAGCAGGTGAGTGGCTGCCCGTTAACAGGCGCTGGCATGATGGATCTGAAATGACAGGTGCTCTTTAATATTATATTTATAAACTGCTTAGAAAGTTTCACTTTCATTTTTACTGCTTACCCTTCCTCCTCACACTTACAGCTTGGGGGTACAGATGCATTTCTCTTCAAACATACAGTTTGTAGTGCTCATACATTTGCAAAACAATGGGATAAAGGAATATTCCTGAACTTTGTTTTATGATTTATCTCATGGTTACTGTGAAATTATGTGAATGCATCAATGCAGTGCATGTTCTCTCAGTTTGCAGAGCTTGGATTCAGTGAATGAGTTTACCAAAAATGTAAATATTGCAGAATATATAGCCTCGTGCTACATAACTAAGCTCCATTTCATGCTGAATATACTAAATTATTTATGTATCTCAAATACAAAACTATCTTTAGATTTTTACTTCAAAAGCATTTTATTAAAATAAATTTGATAATCAAAAAAATCCAGTTAAATTTTTTTAAAAATCCAATTTAAATTTTAAAAAATCAATTTTTCTATTTTTTTAAAAAAAATCATCAATTTGTATCCACCCTGTTTTAATGTATTATTTTAACCTTAAGAACACTTTAAGGGAGCAAATATTGTAAATGAAATAAGATCTTTCTTTCAAGTATTGGTAACAGTAAGATAAAGGCTCTTACATTACATATATGATTAAGAGTTCTTATTCTCTTGACTTTCTATTGCTGAAAACATTAAGGTTGTTTGTACTGCTAAAGTATAAATCTTTTCTTTTATACTTCTGAATAGAGGAACCTGTTGTGGAAACCGCAGAAGAAGCCACAGAGCCAGCAGAAGCTGATATTAACGAACTTTGTACGGAAATGTTCAATAAAATGGCAATCTACCTAACAGGCGAACTGACTGGTAAGTTAATATTAAATTTAAATTTAACATACAGCGTGATTCTTTGCAAAAATTTCCTGAAGTCCTTAATAGGTATCAAAAAGTACTGAGAGAATTTACTTTTTTTTTTTTAAAGGAAATTTCAAATGGAATCAGAACATAACTGATCAATTACGTGGTCAGCCAACCCACTTTTTCCCTCACGGCATCCCCAAAAAAGTGTAATGTCTGCTAATAGTTTATCCTCACTCACTTTTGGTAGGCTTCTAATTGTGGCCCAGTCTAGACAGGAAACTGCCCGTTTGTCAACTTAATTCTTTCCTCTCTTAAGAAAAACTTTCTTCTGGGTGTTTCTGATGAAAGTAAAAGCCGGAAACAACATTGATGATTTAAGATTCACATTCCATAATCAGCCTGCGAGAGATATTGACATATTATGAACATGATTGAAACTAAAACTGGGGTTACATTTTATAAAAGGGAAGTTTCATTTTGCTTGGTTTGGTTTTTGATTCAGTCTGATATGAGAAATCAGCCACCGTGATTTGAGTTTAGCATTTTGTGAAGTGCAACCATTTGTTGCTTATTCAATAAATAAAGACACCTAGAGTAGCCCCATCGTGAGATAGACTGCAAATGAATTTAACAAATAAATAACCGGAAATAAATAAATCAAGCTCTGGCGTAATGCATTGTGTGAACCCACCTCCTCCTCTTCTATTTTTTAGCAACTAGTGAAGATTACAAACTGCTGGAAAACATGAACAAACTAACTAGTTTGAAGTATCTGGAAATGAAAGACATTGCTATAAACATAAGTCGGAATTTGAAAGACTTAAATCAGAAATGTAAGTAGAAACAAAGTTTAATTGTGTGTTCATCCTTACTTGTGTTTTGGAGGTATGTTAAAATATATCCAAGAAAGAATTGAATATGAAAAATGTGCAAGAAACAAAAAGTACTTCTTCAGCTAGCTTTTCCCACATGGATGTGTTAAATCTACAATCAGGCAATCGATCAGTTTCTAAATACAACATGCCCAAAGAAAGCCTTGAGGAAGGCTTCAGCAAATCCAACAACATATAGGCAACACATATTTTAAAATAAAATAATGGAGAACGCTGATCTGTTTCTTAAGATCCAATGTTCATAGTGGTGTGTTTTACTCATAGGAAAAGAGGCATAGCTTTGCATGCATGCAGCTTTTTTAATCTCCAGTGCCAGTGGTGAAATTCAAAAATTTTCCCTATGAATTCTATGAGCGTGGCTTGGTGGCATGGCTTGGCGGGGAGTCATGTGACTGGGTTGGCATGGCCAACTTTTTTTTTTTTTTTACTTTTTTTTAGCATTTTTTAACTAAAAAAAGTTTTTAAAAGTTCCGACAATCAGCTGTGCCCGCGATCGTCGGAACCTTATTTTTCCTTTTTAAGCATTTTTTTTACTTCCATTTCGGGCAAATAGGTAGTAAAAAATTGCTTTAAAAAAGTAAAAAAAAAAAAAAGGTTCCAACGATCAGCTGTGCCGCACGATTGTCAAAACCTTTTTTTTACTTTTTTAAAGCATTGTTTTACTACCAATTCAGGCGAACCAGTAGCATTTTTTACTACCGGTTTGGGCGAAGCAGCCTGAACCGGTTTCACCCGTCCAGTGCCAGGATAAGATGGCATGCCACAGTGAGATCCAGCAAACCATTGTCCATTAAGACTGGGCAGTGGTTTGATCCAGTAGAACAGGGGTGTCAAACTTGATTTCATTGAGAGCCGCATCAAGTTGTGTTTGACCTCGGGGGGGGGTGTCCAGGGTGGGCATGGCTGGCTTACCGTCACTCATCAAGGCTCCGTTTTCAGCTGCATTGGCCTCCTGTAGCCCTCTGCCAGTGGAAATGGAGCTCTGTTTTCGCTGGCAGACGGGCCGGGCCATCATTGTTTCCAGAGCAGCCCCGCGGGCCAGATCTAAGTACCCCATAGGCCGGATCCGGCCCACGGGCCTTGAGTTTGACGTCCCTGCAGTAGAAGGCACCTTCTTGTCAAGTAGCAGGTTTTTTTTTAATCCTCAGTAAGTTCTTACTTTTTTCTCTCCTTTCCATTTTCCCCAAGATGCTGCACTTCAGCCATACCTGGAACAAATCAATCAAATTGAAGAGCAAGTTGCAGCTTTGGAACAGGCTGCCTACAAGCTGGATGCATATTCCAAGAAACTCGGTAGCTATTCCAAGAAACTCTAATTATTACTACTAGAACAGTGGTGTTCAAGTTTTGATTTTATCCTTTTCCCAAGCAAAGCTTGACATCCAGGGATGTCAAACTTGATTTCACTGAGGGCCACATCAGGGTTGTGTTTGACTTTGGGGGTGTGGGCATGGCCAGGGTGGGTGTGGCCAGCTTGAGATCACTCACAAAGGCCTCCTGCAGCCCTCTGCCAGCAAAAACGGAGCTCAGGAAGGTCGCACATCAGTGGTGGGATTCAGCCAGTTCTCTCCGGATCATGTGAACTGGTAGTGGCTCCACCTACCCACCCGGATGTAATGTGCGAGTACTGCACATGTGCAGGCAGCCATGCAGATGTGCAGAGGTGGCATGTGGAAGTGAAACACATGTGCGCATGCACTCACATTTGCGAACCAGTAGGGAAGGTAAGTGAATCCCACCTCTTCTGCACATGACCTGCCCGGGCTCCGTTTTCTCTGGCAGAGGGCTGCAGGAGGCTGTTGTGGCCGAAAATGGAGCCTGGGCAGGCCACATGCAGCCTCCCCAACTTCCATTTTCATTGGTAGAGGGCTGGAGGCCATCATGGCAGAAAACGGAGCCCAGGTGGGCCATGCATGGTCCTCCCAAACTTTTTCCCCTGGCAGAGACACCGCAGGCCGGTTCTTCACTGTTTCCAAGGCGGGCCTGCGGCCCAGATCTCAGCACCCCGAAGACCCAGCCCCCTTGAGTTTGACACCCCTGCTGTAATTAAACAGTGTATTTATAGGGCAAAACTTTTTGAACTTCTAATGAGATAACTTAAAGAATGTGCCCAAAATCCAGGGCCCAAGATGCCCAGGGAAATAAAATTTGGTGATTTTTAATGAAATATTTTAACATTAACCATAAGACATTTATGGTAATACAAAGTGTCATACATAATTTTCTGTGATGATGTTTGACTGTGTTACATAGTTCAGCATGGGCTATTTTCAAGGCAGATACATCTCTGAATATATCTCTGGATTTTTAAGACCTTTTCAAGTACATTAAAAGCTCTACCGTTATTGAATAATTGAGGAATCTGGGTAAGGAAATCTCTCTGATATTTCTAGTATATCTATTTAATACTAGTAAGTTTTATCTTACGATGCCAACATCCACACCTCTCATACCGCAGAGAATGAGAATTGGCGATGCCTGACCTAAGAAAAACATTGGACGTCTGATTCAGCATTCCATAAACTTATCCATGGAGAATAATTGAATTTTAGTGTATTTTTTTCTTGTTATGGATTATTACAGAGATCAAAAGACTGTCCTCTGTTTGAAAAATAGTTCTTACCTATTCATTTATGGCCAAAAGCATTGCATATTTCACTAAACTATGGTTTATTAATGGTTTATTGATCTATGATTTTTTTTGGTTCAATTCACACGAATTGCTGAGACTTAACAATGGGATTTGATACAAAGCTGCACGCCTATCTTTTTTGACTTGGATGGTTGACCATGCCATCTGGTAACTTGTGTCCACTACTGATTTGAAGTATTGGAAGACAAAGGAACATGAATTTGGGCAAACTCCAGGAGGTAGCGGAGGACAAGTTAGCAAAGGACAGCAGAGTCAGACATGACTTAAGGAGTGAACAAGAAGAAACACAATGCTTTTTATTCTTATTAGTCTCCCCTGAAATAAATGGAAATTGTTGTGGCCCGCCAGTGGCCAGCAGAGCTGGCAGCAGATTTGGACAGTGAGGAGGTTGGGGAGAAACATGGGCCAGTCCTGGAGTCTGGGGAAGGCTCAGACAATGGGTCTGAGGTAGAGAGGGGGGCAAAGCCATCTGGTAGTTGTTTGTTGTCTCCAGAGTCTGACATCAGTGAGGCAGAAGAACAGCGTGAGCCTGTTCCCAGTGTGCGCATGTGCAGAGCTGCCAGGAGACAGGAACAATTAAGGAAACAGGGTCGACTTGGGAGTAAGGCTTGGAGATGATTGGCCCCTCCCATAAGACATAAAAGAGAAGCGAACGGGACGTGAACTTTTGCAGGAAGCAGTTAGTTCATCTGGCCGATTCAAGATTTGAAAATATTATTTGTGACTATGCCAAGTTTGGCCTTGCCACGCGTCTGGAAATTAGCTCTTTGGCAGCATTCCACGTGAGATAGGTAGGTGTTGATAACCTTCCTCTGAAAGACTGTTTATCAAGCCTTGCAGACTGTAAATGAAAGTAATTTACAGCCGTATGAATTAAAGAGGTTTGCCAGGAGTAAGTTTGTGCTGTTTAATCTCCAAGGAAGCCTAGGTCAGAACAGAAACATAGCTTTGTACCGAGTATCTGGCACAACAGACTAAAATCCCCAAGTTGCATTTTCATAATTATTATTAGGATAATACATTGTGATACTGTTTTGATCTCATACCAAATCCTTTTTTCCTTAAAAGGAGGGTATAAATGAAGAGTTTGGGCAAAGGCCAATTAAAGCAAAATCTGGACAATTGCTAACATCCTATTATATAGATAAGATTTTTATCATGATTTGATCCAATCAGTACACAATTTGCTTTTCTCCTTTGTATTACTATATTTAAATTATTTTCATACATGCATTTTCTAGTATTTCAAGTTCCCAATTAATCAGTTCAGCTCTTATATACCATGTTTCCCCAAAAATAAGACCCTGTCTTATATTTTTTTGAACCCTGAAATAAGTGCTTGGCCTTATTTTCGGGGAGGGCTTATTATTTTGGGGCGCGTGGAGCAAGATGGGGCTCCTCTTGCCGTCTTACCTGATTTCCAGCTCTGTCTCCCTAACCCTAACCAGAGGAAATGGCGGGGACCGGCTGCGCATGTATTTAAATATTTTCAGGGAGGGCTTATTTTCAGGGAAACACGGTATTTGTATGTTTGTATTGTCATCTCTCACAGTTTCTCTTCCCTTCTCAATTATTAGTTATAATGACAGGATATGGTTGTGGTTCCACTCTTAACCAAAGGCATTCAGATAGTTGCAGCTGCTAGTTTAGATTATTTTTTTATACCTGCCTTCCATGGACACTTCTATTTTTAACATAACACTGAAAAGTAACTGTCCATGCTTATGCATAGGAGAAAGTAAGTTTTCGGCATATTCCAAAACTCAGAAGTTAAGTTGCAGAAGGAGGTTTCAACAGACAACAAATAGCACATTAAGCACAGGGCAGTTGATCCTCTCACTCTCTCCCTCTGTCTCAAGAAATTTAATTTTACAGCAGAGAATAAGGAAATTTTAGATAACCAAGGAAATCTTGGACGCATTCCTTCAAATGGCTCAGGACCTGGGTACTTGCGGGACCGCCTACTACCACCAATAGCCTCCCACCGGCCGGTACGCTCTCATAGAGAGGGGCTCCTCCGGGTGCCGTCGGCCAAACAATGTCGACTGGCGGCCCCCAGTGGGAGAGCCTTCTCTGTGGGGGCACCTACTATCTGGAACGAGCTCCCCCCGGAGATACGGAGGATCCCGGATCTGCGCACCTTCCGCCACGCTCTAAAGACCTTTTTATTTCACCAGGAGGGCCTGGCCTAACTTTCTCCCTCTTTTTAAACAATTTTAATATTTTAATATTTTTAATCCTCAAAGTTTAAATTTGTTTTAAATTGATTGGGGTTTTAATCTGTCTGGGCCAAACTATTTAATTCGATTTTATTTCTGCTTTTTAAATTTTGTATGTATGTATTTTATTGTTGGCTGTTCACCGCCCTGAGTCCTTCAGGAGTAGGGCGGTATACAAATCAAATAAAAGTAAAGTAAAAGTAAAGTAAAAGTAGTATTGGCAGGCCTTGAATTATGATCGTTACAGCCCAGAAGTAAGAGACCTAAGTAATGTTGGACCTCAAGTAGGTCACATGATCATGCCTGGTTTTACTTTTTTGTGATCTTTAAGCAAATTCCATGGTCATTAAGCAAATCCATTGTCCGTAATGGGTGGTTTTTGCCAGAAACCAATGTTTCCGGCAAAAAAAAGCCCTAAATCACAAGCCATTGTCACTGCAGGATACTGCAAATAGCCATAAATGCAGGACAGCTGCCAAGCACCCAAAATGTAATCATGTGATGCGGTGGGGAGGGGCATTAGAACTTTGAATTTGGGTCACAAGTGGCCCTGGGAAAGTCTGTCATAACTTTGAATAGTTGCTAAGCAACCTGTCATAAGTCAAGGACTTCATGTACTAACTCTTTTAAGAAATGATATAAAATTTAAGAATAAGTTTATAATTTGACATAAGTTGCTTTGCATGTACACTGAGAACTTCTATACTGGAGACAAATTCCTTGTGTGTCTAATCATACTTGGCAGAATAAAGTTTATATATTCTGTTCTGTTGATTAAACGAAGAAATTACATTGAATGTACTTGCCATCAAGTATTTGTTGTCCTTTCTTCTTAAACATGACTGACTATGCTACTAGATTTACAGCCAAAATGCAAATGAAATGTTTATATTAAGACTATTTTTTTTTTGTCCTTTACAGAAGCAAAGTACAAAAAATTGGAAAAGCGATGAAAGAAGGGCCTTAATCTGCTTCTAGAATACATGACTTTTTTCCAGGAAGCTAAATCCAAGATTTCTGCTATTGAACTTCTGAAACAGAATTTATGCCTCAGCAATGCATTTGGACTAAAATAATCTAAGAACATTCAAAAGCAGGAGCGGCTACACAAATCTATGAATTAACTACTCTTGTCATTGTAGAATCTATTCCCTTTTTACTTTCTTGATATTCATTTACTGAGAACATAGAAGTCAGTCTTAACTGCTTCAATTCTACCAGTGTTGTTTTCATAAGTTTATGTAATGAAGCAAGAAATTGGTCACCTGCATTCTATAAATCTTTTCACTTGTAAATAAAAATTTGTTGACTCCTGCTTACCACTAAAATACCATGGCTTTGCTAAAAACGTATGTCCTGGCCTTGTTTTATATTTTCAGGTTTGATGAATAAATCCAGGAAAGAGGTCCAACTTCATTCAGAAAGAATTTGAATCACATGAGGCTTTAAACATTAGCCCTAATTTAGCATGAGTTTATAGAAGAACTCTGATATGGTATCAGCACTTACCTGCATGGGTTGAAGACAAATGTAAAAATTCCATATAATTATAAACAGTTTATTGATTTCCATGGGACAGATGAATTGTTAGAATGTCAGCGGCTATTTAAAAAAAACTCAGAAATATAAAGATACACCCCCCCCCAAAATGAAAGTGGTTGAAAATGAAAACAAGCACTGTCTTAATGTACACGAGATAGTCATATCATTTCCACTATTACAATTTTAGCTTATTTAGCAGTTCAAACTTTCAACAAAGTGAATGTTGCTGGTTCCTATGAACATGGAAGAAATGTTAAATGCTTGTATGGTTCAATAGCTAATATTGGCATGCTAATGTTGAGCTTACAACTTCCAATATTTTCGGTAATAATGTTTTTCCTGTGAAGTAATCAGTCTTGTTGTCCACTCTAGTTTCAAAGGAAGTATCTTTGCAACAGTTATAATGCATGGGAAGGACTACAATAATTTGTAAACAGCCTCATGCCAAATATATTCAGCACCAGGGCCTGTTCTAAGAGAGAGGCAGAAGTCGTTTCAGGAGGGAAGAGAACAAAAAAATGGCAACCAGGCTTCTTGCCACACTTGCATAAACTAGAAAAGAGCAAGTCTAGGAATTATTTTCAGGATAGTGCCAAAATTTCATGGCCCCCATTAAAATTCTCAATGTAATTAATGGGTGTCATAATTCCAAGTGATGATTACAATATGCGCCTCCCCACTTACAATACTGGTAGGCAGTTTTTGCCCTGGTGTAAAGCGGGCTGGGACGGGCATTGGATTCAGAGGTTAATCTGAATTAAAGCGCAAAGAACACCTGATTGCTATGCAGATAGCCCCAGGAATGCAGGAAGGATGGATCAGGGCTGCCTTAATACAGGGACCTGATGGGCACTTACCCGTGGGCCCCATGAGCATAGGAGCCCCATACTAATCTGTGTATGTTAACCCTTCAATCCACCTTGTATCATATAAATAGAGCAACATATTTATTACATTTTACTCCATTTTTTACATTAATACTAACATGCCAATAAAATATGTTTCATTTTATTGACCATTTACATTTTTATTCCTGTGAGTTGTTGTTAGGGGCCCAGGTACACTGCTATGCCCGGGACCTATAATACTGTTAAAATGGTCCTGGGATGGATGCCTCCAGCCAGAAGGCTGCTATTCTCCGAAGATCAGGAGTGGAGTCTTTAAGGCATGGAGAATTCCTTCTTTTCAGCAAGAACCGGATTATTACAATTTATATTGGGTTTTTTTTGTTTCCTAGTACCGTTTCCCCCAAAATAAGACATCCCCTGATAATAAACCCAATCAGGCTTTTGAGCGCATGGTAATAAGGCCAAGTGCTTATTTCAGGGTTCGAAAAAAATATAAGACAGGGTCTTATTTTCAGGGAAACACAGTATGATTTGATTGCTTATTAGTAACCTATGACTAAGTGTTGTATCTTAGATTCTTGACAAATACATTTTGTTTTTCTTTTTATGTACACAGAGTATATGCACCAAAGACAAATTCCTTGTCTGTCCAATCACACACTTGGCCAATAGAACAGAACAGAATAGAATTCTTTTATTGGCCAAGTGTGATTGGACAGACAAGGAATTTCTTTGGTGGATAAGCTCTCGGTGTACATAAAAATAAAAATAAAATATATTCGTCAAGAATCATAAGATACAACACTTAGTGATAGTCATAGGATACTAATAAGCAATCAAATCATACTAGGAAATAAAAATATAAATCATAAAGATACAAGCAACATGGTTATAGTCATATAAGTGGGAAGAGATAAGTACTAGGAAGGATGAGAAGAATAGTAATAGTCTTAGTAAATAATTATACATTATTTACTTTTATATTTTATATTAAATATTTTATATTTTATATTAAGCATATACACCTAAGACACACCTCTTTGTGTGTCCAATCACACTTGGCCAATAAAGAATTCTATTCTAATTTATAATTTGACAGTGTTGCGGGAATTAGTTGTTTAGCAGAGTGATGGCATTCGGGTGGGTAGAAACTCTCCTTGTCTGTGTGACCAACCATACGCTAAATAAATAAATCTCCTTGTGTCTAGTAGTTATAGCGCGAAGAAAGGAGAAGGCCGATAGCCGCAAGAAGGACGGATGCCTCCGGGCGGAAGGCCGCTGTTCTCCTAAGATGAGGAGCGGGAGCCCTTAAAAAGCCTGGAGAATTCCTTCTTTTCATGCAACAACCGGATCCCCTGCTGAGCTCCTCCGCGCCAATCGGACGCCTGGTTCTCAGCCTTCCCTCCCTTCCCCCGCAACCGAAGCAGGAGGCGGCCTTGTTGGGGAGACCCGACGGCGACGGGCTTGGCGAAGCCCCCACTTCCATCACTTTTCCAAACTCGGTCCCCCCCCCCCCGCCCTGCAGTCCTGATCCGCCTTCCAGGCTCCTGGGGGCGGCTGAGGAGGCGGAGGCAGCTTTTTCGCGCGAGGCGAGGCGAGGGCGCCATCTCGCAAGAGCGAAAAGCGCGCGAGTTTCCTTCGGGGCGGAACTGGGCGGTCGCTCCTCGTGCGCCGCCGGCTCTGAGTAAGGCAGTCGGGAGCCGCGGAAGGTGGAAAGGCGCGTGGGCAGCCATGCCGACCGAGAGCAGCACCAGCCACAGCCCAAGTGCAGGTAACGAGCGAGCTACTTTCGCCCCCCCTTTTTTTTTTTGCTTTGCGCGCCTTGCGGGCGAGCGAGCGAGGAAAGCCTCCGCCGGTCCTTTGCCTACCTTTGTTGTTTTTTCTTCCTTGCAGAGTCTCCGATGGCCGAGCCAGCCGGAGCGGAGGATGCAGCAGCGCCGGTGATCACCACGGCCATGCAGCAGGAGGAGGAGCGCTTGGAAGCGGAGGGCAGGGAGAAGGAGCGGCAGAGGATGGAGAAGGTGCGCGCGCCCCGAGCAGGAGGCCCCGCCGTGGCCACCCCTCTCACCCCGGGTGCTAAAGGCGGGCTCGGCTGGGCTACGCGGGGAGATGGGGGGTCCGTGGGAGGAGGGAGGCTTTGAAAGCAAGCCTCCCTGGAGCCTCAGGGTCGGCCGGCCCGGAGAGACGGCGGTCCCAGCTCCCACTCCAATGCCGTGGGGGGGACCATCAGGGAATTGGTTTCGCCCTCGGAAGCGCGCCTTCTACTTAGAGGAACTTTTCCTAACATGAAATCGGAATTTAGCTTTTTAACTTGCCCCTCTAGAACGAGGAGGGAGCAAGTCTTGAGTTTCCTCATCATGAAGTTGTTTCCAGATTCCCCTTCACAGTAGCGGCCAAAATTGTGGAAACCTTTTGGGAAAAGTGTGTTTTTGAGGTTGGATGGCTAATAACCCCACTTTTTTTTTTTTTTTTTGTTTGGAGTTTCAAGATAATTTTATTCCACTTGCTGGAATGGCCTGGGAATAGCCCAGACCTGAACCCAATTGAAAAACTATGGAGCCGACTAAAGAAACTTTTTAGTCAGAAGCCACCCAGTTAATAGAAGCAATCACTCAATCTTGGTTTCAGGTTAGAACAGTTGCAGAACTCAAAGACTTGGTTCACTCCATGGGAAGACGTCCTAAGGCCGTAATTCATGCTAAAGGTTACCCAACTAAGTATTAACTGACGTGATAATTTTTGTATATCTCGTTTCTTTCTACGTGTTTCACTTTTCTTCTTTATACTGTAACTGCTCTTCTAATAGCAAATCCTTCCTAAAAGTTATTACATTACATTCTTGATTAAATTATCTTTCCATTGATATATAATTTTATGGTACTACTCCCCCAAATAGTGTTATTAGCTAGTTTTAGAAAATACACTTTTCCCAAAAGGTTTCCACAATTTTGGCCACTACTGTACATTGTTTTTCCTCAAGGATAGACAAGTAGGTTTCCTCCTTAAACTCTGGGCAGGCTGCAACACGCAGTGGGATCTGGGCATCCTGTAAAAGCACTTTGTTTTTATGGTTTTTTTTAACTACAATTTTTATCCAGACTTTCATTTTTGGTCCAGGTTTTTTTGTACATGATACAGAGAGCCACTAAAAAAAAAGGTTTATTTGTAAAATTCTTGTAAAAAGTATGCAAATTAAATTAAAGCTCTTTTTTAACTACAACTGCTTGCAAGCCTAGACTTTTCTTTCCTTGATGAAACCTGACATTAATTTTAGTAACGTAGGAAATTTATTATTTGTATTTATTTATTAAGTCAATGACCAGCAATATAAAACAATAAAAAAGGAAAGAAAAGGCAATAGTTACAATCATGATCGACATGATTGAACACCCCTATTATAATAATATAACATTTTTATTTACCTGACACTAATATATCTAATATAATAAAACTAAAATATATGTAGAAAATTCAGAGCAGAACAGCTGCTCTGGATGAGTACCTGCTTTGGTTGAGTTGAAAGCTGTATTTCCAGTGGGTCCTTGAAGAAAATTGTAAGGCTGAACTACTCATTTAGATTTAACTGGTGAAAGATAATACCAGCTTTTATATTTCCAATAGTATGGTCAGTTAATATTGATATTTATAAAAGATTACTTCTTTTTCTTATAGGCTTACATGAATTGGGACAGAGACTCAAATGAAATGCGCTACAAGAGACTTCAACACTTGCTTGAAAAAAGTAACATCTACTCAAAGTTCTTGCTGACTAAAATGGAACAGCAGCAATTGGAGGTTAGCAGTATTTAAAATTAGAAGCTAGATATATCTATCTAGTAATGCACTTCAGATAAAGCTTTCATAATGTCATCATAATTTGTCATTGTGATTAAAAACATCTAGGTTCTGATCACTTTTCTTTGATTTCATGGCATAGTTTTGGCCTAATATAAATAAGTCCACCTGTATTTGTGTGTGTGTTTGTGTAGATACACAACACCCACCCACGTATACATAGAAAGCCAGTTTGGCTGATAGGTTAAAGAGAGATCTGAATTATTTCAATCCTGCCTTATGCATGGAAGCCAACCAGATAACCTTGGGCCAGTCATTTTCTATCAGCTGAAGGAAGAAGGCATTGGCAAACGACTTCCAAACAGTTGCCTAGAAAACTTGTCCTTATAGTTACCAGGACTCAAGACAGACTCAAATGGATGTGTGTGTGCAAAAGTGCATTTGGCCTTAGCAAGCTGATGCTGCTTGAGCTAGAGTCAGAAAGAACCACCTAGATGTAGCACCATATCTAATTCATAAATAGCTGTTTATGTCTAAGTTGGATGGTCAACTTCTTTCAGTTCGAAGTTCTTACAAATTCAGCTTGAAAAAAGTCAAATAGGTTTGTTAAAAACAGATCATGCCAAACCAATCTTATCTCCTTTGATAGTTACTAAATTAGTAGACCTGTGAAATGCTGTGGATATAGTATATTTAAATTTCAGCAAGGCATTTGACAAAGTAGACCACAACCTACTTGGTAAGCTAGAAAAATGTGGGAGAGACAGCATCACCACCAGGTGTATTTATAACTGGCTGACAAACTACTCAATGAGTAATCCTTAATGGTACCACATCCACATGGAGGGAAATATGCAGTGGGGTATCACAAGGTTCTGTCTTAGGCCCAGTACTCTTCAATATCTTAATAAATGACTTAGATGAGGGAATAGAAGGAGAACTCATCAAATTTGCAGATGACACTAAACTGTCAAGAAAACCAATACCCTAGAAGACAAGCTCAGGATCCAAAAAGATCTTGACAGACTTGAACAATGGGCCCTATCCAACAAAATGAAGTGTGGAGAAAGGTTTTTACACATGGGCAGAAAAAAACAATGGTTACAAGTACAGATTAGCGAAACCTGGCTCCAAAACAGTAACTGTGAGAGGGACCTCGGGAGTCTTAGTGGACGATCACTTAGACATGAGACAGCAGTGTGCAGCAACAGCCAAAAGCAAGTACAATCTTTGGTTGTATAAACAGGCATAGAATCAAAATCATGTGACGTACTAGTACCGCTTTGTAAATCCTTAGTTAAGACCATACCTGGAATACATCCCATTTTGGTCACCACATTACAAAAAAGATGTTGACACTTCAGAAAAAGTGCAAAGAAGGGCAACTAAGATGATTAAAGGCCTGAAGGCTAAAACATGAAGAATCATTGGAGGATTTGGGTTTGGCTAGTCTAGGGAAAAGAAGGACTAGGGGCGATATGATAGCAGTATTTGAGAGGCTGCCACAAAAAGGAGGGGGTTAATTTATTTTCCAAAGCACCAGAGGGCAGGACCAGAAACAATGGATGGAAGCTAATCAAGGAGAAAAGCAATCGAATTGAGAAACTTCCTAACAGTGAGGACGATTAACCAATGGAACAGCTTGCCTTCAGATGTTGTGGGTGCTTCATCGCTGGAGGTTTTGAAGAAGAGACTGGCCAGTTACTTCTCTGAAACGGTATAGGATCTCCTGCTTGAGCAGGGAGCTGGACTAGAAGACCTCCAAGGTCCCTTCCAGCTCTATTCTGATTCATGCTAGAAAAAAATGAATTAAATTGAATGTTTCATTCAAAGTGCTGCCTAAATCTCTAAGGTATTTGCTACTAAAATGAAAATAATCTTAAACACAAAAGTAGAGAGTAGAACTTCAAATTTTGAAGTTCACTTGTCTGTGCATAAAGAAACAACTGATTTGTAAAAATCTTGGGTTTTAGGAGCAACAAAAGAAAGAAAAACTTGAAAAAAAAGGAACCTTGAACACTGCAAAGGTAAAATCAACATTAAATGTTAGATAACTATGAATTAAATACTCTGTTCAAATTGTTATTGATGCCGAATTTGTATTCTTCAGATTACATATCCTTTGATGGGTAATTGAAAGGCATGTGTTGTGATATATAGAGATACTCAAATCAAATCTGATATTGAAATATTTGTAATGTGAATATTCCTCCACAGTGGCAATTCCTTCTGCCTCACAGTTTGCTGCACCAGGGAGATTTCTGAGATGCATGGATGGAACTCTTAGAAAGAGGGAGCAGAGAATGGGTATAAGGAACTGTGGAGTAGACTTTTGAAAACTGGTTTAAATTTATATACAAAAATTATAAATGTTCAACTTTGTTACAAGTAGAGATACAGTACATTATCTTGTTTCTATTTTGCAGTAACCTAGCTTAGAGAAATAACAATAATTTTGGTCAGGAGTCTTAAAATCGTGCAAGATTAACATGGGTAATTACAATTGAATTATTATGCTTGTATGTTAATACAAATATTAACATTAAAATTATTTTGTTCTCAATATTTTGGTTCATAGAATGAAAAACTAAGTGGTCAGAAAGATCAGAAAATCGGTAAGTTTGGTCAAAGACCGAAACTATTTTGTTAATGTATCTAGAAACTGAGTGCTGAAATGAATACTGTATTTTCTTATAGTTAAAAAGAAGAGAGTTCGAGAAGACAGAACATACAATATTTCTGATGTCATGTCAAAAGAGGTAAATTGCTTAAATACAAATCCACAAAACATTACTTTTGAATGATTCAATGAGAAACTTTATTAAATTTATATAGCCGCCCATCTCACAGTTGTGTGTTGTTCAATAATTTTATTTCTTCATTTCTCCACAGGAAATTTTGTTAGCAGCCAAAAAAAGCAAAGTGGAAAATGATCAGGTATATTTCAAGTTTTGAATACTGCTATTATAATATGTTATCCTGATAGTTATTTCTAAAACTTTTAAGAATTTTAAATATTGACTTTAGAAACACTATGAATTTAAAACAATTTCAAGAGAATACCAACTAAGCATGTTTCTTTTTCTTTGCTAATTGACTTAAAAACAAGTGGAAGGCAATGCTAAAAACATTCCCCATATTGCTGCAGGAAAA